ATTCATTCATTCATTGAAATAAGCCAAGTGTATATTTCAAAACTAATAACGATATTCAAAAGAAACAAAAATAAAAAACGAGAGAATAAACCGGACAGGTCTATAAGAATAATGTGTGTGTGTGTTTAGTGTGTTTAGTGTTTCGTTTTTGCTGTTGTAAGTAATCCCTTTTTGTTCTTGTTGTGGCAATGAACATTGAATTTTTGTTTTTGTTGTCCATAAATAATTGCCATTTAAAAAAAATAAAGAATAAAATTGATGCTTAATTTTAGCGAACAAAAAAAAAAATGAAAAGAAAACATTATCATCATCAATGGATGGTAATGTTGGTTTAGCCTTGTTGTTGAATATATGTTCATAGTACAAAAAAACAAAACAAAATTAGCCATCTAAATCAAATATTATGACAATTTACAACAAGACATTATCTTTCTTGTGCTGGCTGATTTGATTCTATGACTTTTAATGTTTTTTTTTCTCATTCACTTGAAGTGTCCATATGGTTTTTTTTTTGTTTAGGTGCTAAAAGTATCCGAATAGCCACTCGAATTGCTTGTGTGTGTGTGTGTATACGTGCTTGTCAAAATTAAATTTTCGATTTTTCATTTTCGTTTTGTTTTTGTTTAATTCAAAAATTTCAAGTGCTAGTTCTTTTTCGGTTTGTTTGTTTGAATGAAAATACAAGTGGATACAAATGCGATGTAAATATTTCCGTTATTGTTGAATAATGGAAACGAAAAAACACAACGAATTTTTGTTTTTTAATCCACAACTTTCACTTTTTGTGTGTGTGGAAATGAAATTTTTTTTATTATTATTTTCACAAAGATTAATGTGTATCAAATTGCATCGTTTCCATTATCATTGGTATAAAGTTTTGTTGTTATTGTTTTTTGTATTTTGGTCCATATGTCGTGGTTTTGTTCCACTTTTTTTTTCTCTCTTCCCATTTTACCGGTTTATTTAAACAAACAACAGCAAATTGATACAAATTAGGCCAACCAATTTCAATATATGTAATCTAAAATAAAATGTCCATTAGCTCCTGTCGACAGCCTGTTGTAGTTTTGTTATCTTTTTTTTTTTTAGCCGACAAACAATGATAATCTGGCTGTTTGATATATTTTTTTTTCTTTTCATTACCATCCAAATCAATCAATCCAATACCTTGTCGTGATATATTTATATATTGATTGATAAGAAAAAAAAAGATTGTTGAAAAGAATCTTTTGATTGAACTTTTTATCGATATTTTCGATAGAATGTTTTGTTTTTTTTTTTTTGTTTGTTACATTCAAGTCAATGGTCCATTCATGTCCATGATCAATGGCAATTGTGGAATATGAATAAATCGGATTTATCTTGTTCCATTCGTGGGGGGTGGTGGTGGTGGTGGTTGCAGTGGTGGTTCAGCAGCAACAACAACAACAACCATGACAATAGACGGCTATAAATTCGGTTTATGAAACATTTCAACAACCAAAATTTGAATAAAAAGTACTTGATTCTTATTATTCAATGTAATCGAAGAGAATGTGGCCAAACAAAAATTTACCGAATAATAATAATAATCCAGCAGTGAAAATATTAAGCCGCTAATAATAATCAATCGATCGAGTTCATCGAGTACTCTCTCTCTCTCTCTCTCTCTCATATGACGGCTAAATCTTCGAAAGAAAAATTTTTTATTATTATTATTATTCACAATAAGTGAAAGTTAACAAATTGAGAGCATTTGAGTTATTTGAATCAATCGACCGAATCAACCGATAAAGAGAAAGAGCGAAAAAAAAATCCGAATTGAGAAGCAAGAAAAAAAAACGGTGGCTGATAGTCGGTAAATATGTGTGTGTGTGTGTTTGTATGTTTGTTTCGGTTAGTTTTCACTGATTATGACGATGATGATGATGATGATGATGTCTCCTTGTCAATGTCAGTATTTAGGTATTTAGTTTTTTGTGTGTATATGTGTGTGTGTGTGTATTATAAAAGTAATCAAGCGTTAAATAGGGCTTATGAATATAGGTAGTGTGGCCAAACAAAAAAAAAAATGATCGTCTTTAATGTCCCAAACAATCATCTATATCTATCTAGCTATAGAATATAATAGATAGCCAGTCAGTCAGTCAGTCAGTCGGCTAGATAATTTCAATTTTATGAGCATTGGCTAGCCACCAATAAGTTTATACATATGTTTTGTCACTGTGTTGTTTATACGTGTTTTATTTATGTTTATGCGTGTGTGTGTGTGTGTGTGTGTCCAGTCGCAATATATATTGACCATCAGCAGCAGCTATAATATATATGATATATGGTAACAATGTCACCAGACATTTAATGTGTGAGGAAAAATGTCGTGGTTTTTTGTTGTTGTGAAAAACAAACTCATCTTCCATAAAGACTTGAAGAATAAAAGCCGCCTTTTTTTTAGCTTGATAATTAAGAATTTGATCATGTTTTTCATCATGTTTATGCATCTTTTTTTCTGTTTTTTTTTCAATTTTCAATTTTAAATTTACAAACAAAAATTAGGCCCACTATTCCTCCTCCTCCTCTCAATCTATAGGTTTGGCCTAATATATTTTCAAAGCAAATTAGCCGGTTTTTCCCTCTGGCATCTTTTTTTTTTTGCATGTATGTATGTAATCAATATTTGAACATTTGAGGGAAAATTACACGCACTCATCATCATCTATCATTCTAACACGTTCACCTTTCATATGTTGTTGTTGTTGTTGTTGTTGTATCACCGACACTTTTTATTTGTTGAACATCTAAAACACAACACCAAATGAAAACGTACTACTACTAATTCAGTTATCAAACATTTTCAAATTTTTTCTTTCTTTCTTTCTTGGCCATAATAACACTAAATATAAATGAAGAAAACAACAACAACAACAACAACGCAATAGGTAACTATTCAATTAGTCGCCTAGTCAAGAGAGAGAGAGAGAGAGACCTACCACGTTGATGTCTGACATTTTTTTTTTATCTGCCCTATACCTGTGTGTGTGTGTGTGTGTTTGTTTGGTGTGTCCAGGAATTGAAATTAATTGAAAACACACACACACACACACACAAACAAACACTTTGCCTGTGTGTATTGATTATGATTTGAAAATGTTTTTTTTTTTTGCACAATTCTTTCCCAAAAAAAACCAAAGATATCGTTTTCACAATTTATAAAATTTCATTCATTCATTCATTCACATATTATGACAGTGACCCTGTGAAGCATCTTCATCATCATCAATACAGCAAGGCAACAAGGCAAACCATTTCAAATATATTTTGCCGTTTATGTTACCTACTGTTTTATGGGGCGGTACTAAAGGCGGAGCATAACATTTAACTATTAACCAATCAAATGACATGAATAGATTTACAATTACATTTGATTGGTTTTTTTTTCTTGGGGCTATAATAATAATAATAATGAGCTTATGATATTTTTTTTTCACTACATTATGTAATGTCCATTTTGGATTAATTAAAACAAATTCACTGACCAATCCGAACAAATAATAATACAATTAATGGATGTTTATCGTAATTTGATTTTCGATTTATTTGTTTTCACCAATATGAATCATCATTTGCCGATGTTGTCTGGGAGAGAATGAAATGTCAAAAAAAAAAAAAAAAAAATATGAATATATGACACTTGTAATGTTTGTGTAATGTATGTATGTGTGTTGCTGTTTATACCTACTATACCTGTCCAGCTATATTTTATTGAAATGAATATTTTATATGAATGAATGAAGAGTCAATGTGTAATGGGAAAAAAAAAAAAAAAAAAAAACACTGAGCAACAGACACGTACACATTTATTATTATATATGTATATACCACACATACAGGTACAGGACATGCAAACAATCCTGAAATAAATAAAATAAAAAAAAATTATTTGAGAATGAAATAGAGAAAGAGAGTGTGTGAGTGAGTGATAGAGAGAATCATCAGTTCATCTTGTTGGGGTGTTTGTGAGAGTCATACACACATTCGTTAGATAGCCACCGTACAGTCAAGTTCAATGTTTATTAAATGTGTGAAAGAAATGAAAAGAGACAGAATGATGAAATGAACAGAAAAAAAATAAGAGAGAATTAGCCACTTGTGGTGATTAATATAATATTCGTTCAACCTAGTTTGTGATCATCAACACACACACAACAACAACAACAACAACAAAACAGAACATCCATGAATTAAGTGTGATAACTGATCCATCCGAATTATTCATCCATCCATTACATTTTTATTTTGAATAAATATAGATATTGTACGAAAAAAAAACCAAAACAAAACAAAACAAAAATTACACGCCTTTTTCAATTGAATATGCAATTAAACATCAATCAACCAATAATAATAATAATAATAATTAATTAATTAATCACAATCAATCAATCAATCGATCACTCAATCAATAATGACTCATTTATATAACAATAATAATCATAGAGAAAGGATCATTGATCCACCGGAAACGGATACAAAAAATCATCATTTTATAAATTCATCATCATCACCACCATCATCATCATCATTAATCTGGTCATCATTGCATCAACATCATCATCATCATATTCATCATCATCATTGGTCAATTGGCCATCAATATATGACCTTTATTATATCTGACAATAATTGTTGCCAATTTAATACGAAACGTTCAAGAACGAAAATTAATATTAATAGATCTCTTTTATCATTAATGTTCTCATCATCATCATCATGTAGATGGCCTTTATTCATTTTTTTATCATTAGTAATGATAATCAATACTATTATTGCCAATCCTCAAAGCAGTAGTGATCATTGGAGATCAACATCGATTCGTTCACAACAATTTATGTCACCACGACAATCATCACATCATTATGTTCATCATCCGAATTTAAATTATACATCATCATCGACAATTTATCGACAACAAGAACAACGTCGATCAAATCGAATGGTCAATCATCACCATCACCAAATATCATCATCATCATCATCATCATCAAATAATGCGATAAAAACAAATAGCCCTTATTATAATAGTCAATTATTATCGATACCATTTCCATCACAGCAACAGATTTTATATCAACATCCAAATTTTCAAAATTATTTCAATCATCATCATCATCATCGTAATCATCATCCATCAACAACGACAACAACAACAACAACAAATAATGTACAACAACGGTCAAGTAGTGGTAATAGCGGTGGTTCATCACCATCACGAAGAAATTCAATCAATGTATCGAATCAAATACCACGTAGTATTAATCCAATGATGATTGAAACAAATATGATACCATCAATGAAAGGATCAAAATGGTGGTAAGTGAAACCAAAAAAACAAAAACCAAAAAAAATGAATCCATCTAGCAATGAAAATTTTGTTTTTACACAATTTTTTCTTTTTTTCCATTTGTCTTTCGGTTGCTCAACGAACCGTATTATGAGAAAGAAAGAGAGAAAGAGAGAGAAGAAATACAATTCCAATTGGATTATTGTATATATGTCGGATGTATGTATGTATATATCATTCATTACACTAATGATGATCATCATTGATGATCATGCAAAAGACCAGAACAAAAACAACACATGAACATGAAAATGTTAGGCTTGAATGAGAACAGCAGCCGGTTTTTTTTTTTTGCATTTTGATAATGATGATAATGAATCAATGTAAAAAAAAACAAAAGAAAAAGAAAAAAGGTGAGAGATGTAATGATTCTAATTGTCTTTGTGTATCTGTGTGTGTGTGTGTGTGTGTGTTTGTGCGTTTCATTTCTCATCTTATCTGATGGTGTAAAGGTAATTCTTCTTTCTTACACTTTGACCAAAAATTTTTCTTTTTCTTTTTGACATGCACGTGATCTTTCCTAGCTTGCTTGGCCATGCATGTTTTTTTTGCTTTCTGGCCCATCATCATCATCATCAATGGTTCTCTTAGGTCCTAAAAACTAACCTGTTATTAACCATCACATGTTGTTTTGTTAATTACAATTTCATTTCTTCATTTTTGCAAATTTGATTTGTTGTTGTTGTTGTTGTAACAGCCAGCAACAGCAACAGCAACAGGAAAATGATCATACCGATTGTGATTATTATGTCTGACATGTGCCAAGTGGATGAAAAAACTTTCAAAAAAAAAAAATTTCGAAAAAAAAAATGTATGGATTTATGATTAGATTAGGTTTTGTGTTCTGTGTTCTGTTCTGTTCTGTTTGGTTTTGCGATCGACAGTTAGTGATAAAATCTAACTAAACAAAACCAAAAGACCAAGAGAGAGAGCAGAAGAAAATGTCTACACCAGTAGTCCACTCATTCATCCATCTATTCAATCTGTCCATATTGATTCGAATCAAAATTGAAAATTGATGTTGGAATTTAGTGAATCACGACTAAATGATTTGATGATGATGCTATGTGTGTGTGTGTGTGTGTGTTGAAGTATTTGATGGTTATTTTTTTCGGGCTTCTGCCATTGACTGGTTACTTGATTGTGTGTATGTGTGTGTGTGTGTGTGTGTCTAATTAACATCAAACAAAATCAATGTCAAATCCACCCAATCGAATTTTGTTATTTTTTTTTGTTGTACCACAAAAAAAAAATCAAATAAAATCAAGATTGTAGCAAATTGATAAGGATAAGTTTCCAAAAATTATTGGCATTTTTTCTTCAGATTCTTTTGTGAAACAAAACAAAACAAAAACAAAACAAAAACGAAAAATCAAAACGAAATTTCAATTTAATTGATTGATTTAAATTCCGAACTTTTTTTTTCTTTCTCTGTTTTCGAGTACAGAAAAAAAAATTCACAACTTAATTTTCTTGTTGTTTCATTCACCGAATCAAAATTGAAAAGAGTCAAATTTTGTCTTTTTTGGTCATTGCCCGTTTTTTTTGTGTGTGTGTGTGTGTGTATGCAAGTTGTATCGATTTGACACTATCGAAAAAAAAAAAAATGATAATGTTACGTATATTGCACCAAAAAAAAATGCAACAGGTAGCTTTGTCGCATTTTTTGTTGTTGTTGTTGTTGTTATTGATAAATTTTACCTACCACATTGGTCGGTTTTGTTTCTTCTTTTTTTCTTTAAATGTGCGGTTTTTTTTGGGCTCCAATTTTTCTTGATTGATCTATATCTCACCATCATCATCCTACACAAACACACACACACAAATCTTTTTTTGGCTTATTTCGATGAATTAGCTGAAAATTTTCACTAAGTGGCTGTGTGTGTGTGTGTGTGTTTTTTTCTACTGCTTTTATGGAATGACATTTTTTTTGTGTCCATAAAAATTAAACTTAATTAAAATGAAAAACGATCGACATCGTTGTGTCGTCGTCGTCGTCGTCGAGGGTTTTTTCAATTTTTCTCCTCTCTCCCTTGATTATAGGGATTTGTTCTAATCTAATCAAATGAAAAGAAAAAGATTTTGTTTTTTTTTCGCCAAATAAGCCACTTTGATCATCGTCATTAACATCATTTCAATGATAATGATGATGATGAAGATTGAAAAATAAAATTCCATTCCAATGATAAAAGTACAAGTGTTGAAAAGTTTGAAGAATTTCATCATCAACAAATCGATTGTATCGTGGATTGAAATTTTTTTTTTTTTTTTTTTTTTTTTGATTGTTGCACACATGCACACCTTTTTTCACATAAATAAACAGATGACTATGACCCAAATCTCTTTTTTGGTCAAAAAAAAAAAAAACATGAAAAAAAATCACCAAATTTTTTATTTACTTTGCCAAATACGGCCTATATATCCTGTGTCTGTCTATTTGTATGTTGACAGTGATGATGGTAATGATGATGATGATGATGGTGATTTTTTTTGGCTTTTGTTTAAATGTAAACTTCCTCTTTATTTTTTTTCAATGTTTACTTTTTCTTGTTTTGATTGATTGATTGATTGATGAAACTTGTTGAGTTCGATCATCAAACTATCATCATCATCATCATCATCAACATTGGTTATACAATACAAATCATGTTTGTTTACCAATCGATTAATTCAATGGTTGATTAATAATTGATTTGTGTTTGCCTTACTATAGGGATATTGCTCGTCATTCACCACCATCATCAACTATGATTGAATCATCATCATCGTCATCATCATTCGATGTGGCTAAACAACATATGGATGGCCGTCATACAAATGTAATATTACCATCAATAGGCATGGGATCAAATTCATTACAATCAACAACAAATCAGCTATTGAATACAATGAATTTACCATTGAGAAAAAAACAACGTAAATTAGTTCGAGATAATCCTGGTGTATTGACAGCCATTGCACGTGCAATGAAAATGGCCATTAATGAATGTCAAACACAATTTAAAGATCGTCGTTGGAATTGTCCGGTGAATGATTGGAAAAAAGGAAAACATGTTTTCGGTAAAATTATTCAACGTGGTAAGTAATAACAACATAAAATATGGAGATGATCACAGAATTTATGACATTTTGTTACATTCAACCATTTTTTATTTTTGTTGGACAATTATAGGATGCCGAGAGACGGCATTTGTTTATGCATTGACCAGTGCTGCAGTTGCACATTCAATTGCTAGAGCTTGTAGTGAAGGTATTTTATATTTATTTTTTTTTTTTTGAAATCGGATTTTTTCTGATCATCATCATCATCATCATTTTTTTTTCGTTTGGATTAGGTATGATTGAAACATGTACTTGTGATTATCGTTATAATCGTAAACCATCCGGTATCGATTGGGAATGGGGTGGTTGTTCTGATAATATTGATTTTGGCTATAAATTTGCCCGTCAATTTGTTGATTCAGCTGAACGTGGCCGTGATTTACGTTTTGTAATGAATCTACATAATAATGAAGCTGGACGATTGGTAAGTAGATTCTGTTTTTTCATTCATTCATTCATTCATCAAAAAAAAACCAATGACAAAATTCTGACTGTCAATGTGACCATGTGAACAGATAGATGATCACCTAGGCTAAATTTTTAATTAGGTGATAGTCCCAAAAAAAAAACAATCAACCCAGTACGAAAAAAAAACAGATCACAGTCAATCATGTCAAACAAACACAACGACAACAAAAACAACAAACAACGGGTGCCTAAATAACCAGGGTCAAAAAAAAACCACTGAAAAAAATAATAATAATAATGATTGAGAGCCAGCACGAGATCGATTATCCAATATTTGGGTAGTAGTAGAGATATATTTCATTTTCAAATAATCAAAAAATTTTTCAAATCGAATCTTCTCTTCTTTTTCTATTTTTCATCATCATCATCATCATCAACTGGTGGCCATAACAATGTGTGGCAAGTGATTTCAAGTTGATTGAATCCAATAATTAAGACATACTGTGATTTTTTTATATTGAATTGTATGGTGGTTTGTTCCATTTTTTTTTTTTTTTTTGTGTAGCTATAATAGGTAACAATTATTACGATGTGTGTGTGTGTGTGTGTGTTATGTGTATTGTGGGGGTCATGTTGTTTGGTTAGTTTTGTCTCTGTTGTTCCAAAATATGTGATCATTATTACCTTTTTTTTGATGGAACAAATTTTCATGTAAGTAATATTGTGTATTGTGGTGAACAAAAAAAACAAGGTGACCACCACCAGCGTCACATAATGATTCAATTTCTCAAAGTCATTCGGGCCGAAAATCGTTGTTTCTTTTTTTCTTTTGATTCATTTTGAGACATAGTGAATGAATGAATGAAAATTTTCACAATGAAGAAAAAATAAAGAAAGTGAAACAACCTAATGATCATTGATCGGGTTTGTTTCTCTCTCTCTCTCTCTCTCTCTCTTTCTCTATTTCTTCATTCAATTCGGTACAGTTTATCAACAACAATTGAACAACACCGTTTCGTTTTCGATACACGTTCGATTGAAGGGGTGTTGATAGTGGTGATGATGATGGTGGTGGTGGTGGTGGTGATGATGGTGGTCAGCCCAAAAGAATAATGGATTTGAGAAAAAAAAAACACACGGGGACAGTTTTTCAACACTTGTCAAATGTTGTTGTTGTTGTAATCATGATGATGATGATGATTGTAATAATCTCTCTCTCGCTATATATAACAAGGTCCTGCTGATTTTTTTGTTGTTGTTGTTGTTGTTGTTGTTGTTGTTGCAAATTCATGGACCACACCGTCTATATATACACACACAGGAAAAAATATGGTTTGGCATGCATAACAAATTGGCGAATTTCATTTATTCATTCATTTGTTGTTGTTGTTAGCCTTTCTTCCAATTGAGAGAAAAAGAGATTTGTTAACAAAAAAAAAAAGAAATTTAGATCGACAAGAAATCGAAGAAAATTTTTTTTTATTTCAATACAAAGTGTCACACACACACATACCGTAGGTGAAAAAAGAATTACCATTTTGACATGTGACAATTATTATTGTTATATTGGGATTCTTTCGTAGGAAAAAAAAATTTTGTTTTTCTTTGCCCGAAAAAAAACTGTGATCATTACAAGATTTTTTTGTTTGTTTGTTTCGGGATAAATTTAGCAATTTTGTTTGTTGTGCATGTGTGTGTGTGTGTGTGTGTGTGTGTGTGTGTGTGACAGAAATTCCAAATCTTTGGCCATTTTAATCATTTGTAGTCAACAATAAAAGTCAAGTGACCATCCTATTCATTGATGAGAATTCCAACAACAACAACAACAACAAAAAAATTGATCTAAATCAATTAGAGCAGTGACAGCAGTGATCTTATCGAAATGGTCTAGGTCTGTTTTTTTTAAAGTTTTAAAATTTTTTTTTTTGTTGTTCGTTGTGGTGGTCATTCATTCATGAACACGAGAAAAAAAACTACTCGACGACTAATTGAGACACTTATAACAGACACATGCACACACACACACACACAGTTGATTGACGACGAAATCAACTAATTGAATGGAATCTATGTTTATGCATCATTTTTTTTTCTGTGCAGGTGTGTGTGTGTGTTTGTGTTTAGTGATTGAATCGATACGATAATTGTATATTGATCATATCATCATCATGCATTTATTCCGGTTTTTATGGGTAACCAACAAAACAAAACAAAAAATCGAACAAATCGATTACAAATGGTGATCATCATCATCATCATCGGTACTAAAAGGCTAATTTCACGCACCATTTATTGGTCATTTAAAAACAAAAAAAAAACGAAAAATTCTCTTGAAAAAAAATTTTTTTGTTCAACAGCAAACCAAACCAAAAAAAAAAAAGTCTCGTGAGAAACTGATAGTCTCTGATTATGATATATATAATAATATTTACAGACATTTTGGCTATTTCAGCATCATTATTATCAATGTTTATGGATGCAAAAAAAAAAAAAAAAAAATTTAAATTTTACACTCATATCTATGTGCTGTGTGTGTGTGTGATTATTAAATTTAATGTACAAATTTGTGATGATGATGATGATCATATCATCATCATACACTAATCGGATTGGCCAAAACTATCTGTCCATTCTATCTGTCTGTATATTTAAAACTGATGATGATGATGATGATGATGATGATTGAACCGCGAAAAATATTTTTTTTTATTCCATCTATTTATCGATCGAATGTATTATCATTTTTTGGAGAGAGAAAGAAAAGAGAGAGAGAGAGAAAATTCTAAATTGGATTGAATGAAAATTGAGTCGATAAATGGTGTATTCATCATCATCATCATCATCATCATTATCATGAGTTTTTTTTTTCATTATGTTTATTATATTCATATCATTTATCATTTCAATTAAGATAAGTTTTTCATTTCATTTGGTATTTTTTTTCTTTTACTTTTTTTTTTTTTTGGTGAAAATGATGTCGATGATGATGATGTCCACACACTTATTTATTTATTCATTTTGTAGATGATGGCCAGTTTTTTTTTTCGTTCAAATTCCAAATGATTCGTCAAAAATAACATCATTGGTCATCATGATCGTCATCATTATCGTTTACACAATCGATTCTTACCTTCGATAATTTTGACTTGAGGCAAAATAATACGAAAATGAATAATATTGAGAAAGAGAGCGAGCGAGATAAGACCAGTGTCCAATTGTCTCTTGTTTTATCGTTATTTGAAAATTTTTTAAATGATCAATAAGATAATTTAATGGTGAATAAGTGGTGGTGGTGGTAGCATTAGTAGTAGTAGTCGATCGTTTTTTTTGTTCGTTCATATTCATAGGCCATCATCATCATCATAATCATCATCAATGATGATGATAATGGGCAGCCTAGTGATAGATAACAGTCAGTGAAAAAAAAACATATGCAAAATTTTTGATTGACTGGCAATTGGCTGCAAAGCTGATACTTTCGTCTATCAATTCAATTGATTTTATCGATTCCGGGTCGAATTTTTTTTTCATTTTATTTAAATTTTTGATTGAAATTCATCATTCATTCATTCTCTTTGTTTGTTTGTTGTTTGTTTTTATTTGCCCATCAAAATAGCATGTATCAAATGAAATGAGACGTGAATGTAAATGTCATGGTATGAGTGGATCATGGTAAGTTTTTTTTATTGTTTTTTTTTATCGATCCATTTCAATTCGAAATCGATTTTGTTGTTGTTGTTGTTGTTGTTTAGTACATTACAAACATGTTGGATGCGTTTACCATCATTTCGTGATATTGGCAATAATCTTAAAGATCGTTTTGATGGTGCATCACGTGTATCGATCAGTAATGAATATCGTGGTTTTACCCGGAAAATGATGAAACATGTACAATTAAAACCATATGAAAGTGGTATGTTTTTTTGTTTGTTTTGTTTCCATTTTTTCATTCTGTTCACATTGTCCATATATTCATTATAAATATAGGCTATAAAACACCCACACGTGAAGATTTGATCTATTTTGAAGAATCACCGGATTTTTGTGTTCCAAATCATAAATATGGTGTAATGGGTACACAGGGCCGTACATGTAATGCTTCCTCAATTGGTGTTGAAGGTATGTGTTGGGCTGGTTCTTTAATTCTTTCTATTTTTTTTAAAAAAAACAACCAAAAAAATTATTTTTCATTTCATTTCACCAGGTTGTCATCTATTATGTTGTGGTCGTGGCTATATAACCGAAGAAATTGAAGAATATGAACGTTGTAATTGTACATTCCATTGGTGCTGTCAGGTAATTATAATAATGGATGATGATGATGATAAATATAACCCGAACAAGCTAATTACACGGAATTTTTTTTTCGTTTTGTTTCAATTTACAAACACATACACACAGGTCAATTGTAAGATATGTAAAATCAAGAAAAAAATTTATCGATGCACCTGAACATCAATCAATCCAATCAATCAATATTTGTTAATGATTCGCTTTGATTACCATTTTTGATTGGCCACATACACGCATACACACCCATACCTGAAAATATCTTGATGGATGGATGGATGATGCACACAATCCATTTTATCGTTGATCAATTTTTTCTTCTTATTATTTATATAATTTTAATCCAACAAAAAATTTCATTGTGTATTTCCTTTTCCTTTCTTGTATTTTCTTTTTTTTCACTGAAAATGAATTCATGTGTACAAAAAAAATAAAAAAAAAAATCAATTATCATGAATTTTTGGATCTTGGATTCGATACAACAACAACAACAACAACAACAACAAAATCAATGCAATCACACCGACATTTATTGGTGTTTGTGATCCATAATCTATATTTGATTATATCGATTGAAAGAAGAAAAAAAAATTATTTGACACCTTTTCAAGTGTATGTGTGTTTGAATCAATATTTATTTAATATTATCGATCACTAAATTCAAATCAAATCAAATCGAAAAAAAAATTTGTATATACACAAATCAAAAGCATCAGAGCCTGTGTAATTGATTTTTGGCAATTGTTACCAGGATACGATATTATTAAATCTCTCTGGTAAAAGATATGGAGATTTTGAGTGATTTTTTTTTCATCATCATCCGCGTTATTTTATTTTTTTTTCGTTAATGATGAAATAATCATTGATGAGAAATGATGATGAGAATGAATGAATGAATGTCAACCATCACCATTATCATCAGGATTTTTGAATTAAAATGACACATTTTAATGTGTAATAAAAGATGAACCAACTTCAACCATTCTCTTACCTTTCTCTAATATTCACTGCCACTTTTTTTTTACTTGATTTGATCATCAAAATGAATGTTCTGTACTGTTTTGTGGCTTTCTTGTTGGTTAAATGAATGACTAGTACGACGACAACACCACCATTACCAACAACACCAACACCACCACCACCACCACCACGATCATCATCATCATCGAACGGCCGACGACCACGCGAAAAATAAAGATCATTGCCGCCGTCGCCATCGTCGTCGATCTGCCGTTCGTTGAGCTTTTTTTCTTTGGTTGTTGTTGTTGTTGTTGTTGTTGTTGTTGTTGTTGCTATTGCTGCTCACATTCATTCACAAAGCGGCTTTTGGCTCCATAAAGCATTCGAAGTAGAAAGAAAAAAAAAGTGAACAAGTGTGAACCTCCTTTTTTTTATATATTTTTTTCTCATCATCATAGTATAATATATACCATAGAATTAAAAAAAAAATAGTGATCACCAACCACACATAAGGGCAATATAATGGTTTTGATCATTCGCTACATTCAGTTACATGTTAGACATTGAATGTGTCGTACACCTTAAAAACATTGAATTGAAATATATATCGATATATATTGAATATATTGAATCATTTTCCATCATCAATTTGATTGTTTTTTTTCTTGCTGCTGTGGTCGTTGTTTTGTTTTTCAAATTTTTTTCACTATTATACAGTGTTTATTCCCATTGGAATTTAGAAAAAAAAACGTTAATCATTGAATATTCATGTGTGTGTGTGTGTGTGATATACAGGTGGACAAAACAACAACAACAAAAAAACATGTGTGTCTCATTTTTTTTTTTTTTCTTTTCATTAATCGTTTAGACACAATGTCTCATTGTTGATCGGATTTTGTTTGTCTGAAATTTTTGGAATTGTCTACTATAAACACAAATATATCAGTATTACCAATTTGTGATCAATACAACCAAAAAAAAACAACAACAACAAAACAAAACAAAATGTGATCATCATCATGTGTTGTTGTTGCTGGTTAGGCCATCATCTTACTGGTCATCATTTAGAAACATTTTTTTGATCATTTAAAAAATTGTGTCCAATGATCATGGTCATGATCGAAAAACAAATTTCATTGCCAATCATCACCCATCATCATATAGATCATTAATCACGAATATTTGGATTTGTGTTTTTTTTTCTTCTACTTATTTGGTGAACAAAAAAAAAAAAAAACTAATCATCATCATCATCAAAAAAAAAACTAAATTTCAATTCTCACCAGAAAAAAAGGTATGTGTTCATTAGACATATAATAAATTTCAAACAATCTCAAATTTGGTGTGTCTGTTTTTATTAGTTTGAAAATTCCATCCCAATTCACACACACACACACACACACACAACATAATTAATTAATTTGTTATCACCTTTTTCAAAAAAAAATCATGAAAGTTAAGAAGAAAATGGATCGATCGATATAGAAAAAAATTGGTAGCCATTTAGCATCAATTTTTTTGTCTGATTCTTGTTCGTGACTAGCAAAAAAAAAAAAAAATTTTGGTCGTTGTTTATCGAATCGCTAATGATAATGATCAATGATGTTTAATTGTATCATTAAATAGATTAGATTAGACATTCAATTCAATTCATCCATTTTTTTTTTTTTTTTGATTTGTTGTTGCCAAATTCATCATGCTAAAGCATATAGAATGTGAATGATTTGCAACTTAAAACATATATATATAATATACACGAATCAACAAAGTTTTTTTTTCATTTTCATTTTAAGATATGACCAACACACATTCAATACACACACAATGCTAAAAGTGTCCTGGTCAAAGGTCACTGTCATTAGTGTGAATCTTTTACCTTTTTTTTGTGTGATTTGTATAGATATATATTGGTATTACCTGTACAATTATCAGTATGTGTGGCAAGAGAGAGAGAGAGAGAGAGAGAGAGAGAGAAAAGAAATGTAGAATGTGTTTGTATGTGTATGTGCGTTTGAATACCATTCTCACCTTTGAAACTCATGGTGGTGGTGGTGGTGGTGTCGTCCCCTATACAACCACCAACCTTCTTTCCCCTCCAACAACAACAACAACGATGATTTAGTTTTTAGTTTAAAAAAAATTTTTTCCATCTTTTTTTTCAAAAAAAAAAAAAAAAAAATTCATTAGTAGCCCTGTATGTTTTTTGTAGCTGGACTTACAATCATCATCATCATTTATAGTTTATGGTGTTTTTTTTCTTTCCTGATTTTGTTTTTTTTTTACAAATCTGTTTCGCTTAATTAACCATTCTTTTCTTGTTGTTGTTGTTGTTGTTGTTATTGTACGAAATGGTCAAATGATTTAAATTCTATTGACCCTCTTGACCCGCTCTCTCTCTCTCTGGTTTTCCCCTCAAACCCCCCACACCTGGAATCTATTCTACATCTTTTTTTTTTCTTATTCATTTCAAAATGATCGACACCTCCTCTACGATTAATTACGCGCGCCTTGATCTTTGGCCTGATGATGATGATGATGATGATGACCTTCGAGCACACACACACACAATAGTTTTCTCTCTCTCTCTCTCATTTGACCATTAGTTATGTTTATTATAATTGACTATAATTACTATCATTTGACTTTTGAATCCATCCATCCATCTATCTATCTATCTATCTATCTATCTGTAGTTTATCTAGCTTAAATCTGGCTGAATATGTGTATTTTGTTTGTTTCATTATTTTACAATATACAAAAACAAGGCAATTGGAAAACAAAAAAAAAAAGAAAATGTCAGATATTTTCATGAATTGAAGATTGTTTAGAATGAAATGATGATGGTGATGTTTTTTGATGTTTGAAATTATCGGATTTTATCTCTCTTTATTCTTTGTGTTTGTGTGTGTGTGTTTGCCATTTATTCATTCATTCATCCATTCATTGTCCAAATTTCATTGAACAATTTAGGTATTTTGATTTTTGTTATAATTCGTTGAACAAAATGCCATAAATGTTTGCTGGGCATCTTTTTTACATTCATGCATTTGTGTGTGTGTGTGTGTGTATTACCTTCCACAAACAATCACTACAAAAAAAAATTCAGAATTGGCAAATAATAATAATTGATGCTAATAAAGAGAGAAAAAAAAAAAAAAAAAAATTCACATTCTCGTGTTTGCCTGTGTGTGTGTATGTTTATCAAGGTGTTATTATTATTATGATGATTGTTACATTCATTTATCTTTGTCGATTATTCAATTGTCGATTCAATGTTATTATTGTGTGTGTGTGTGTGTGTGTGTTTGTCGGTCGTCATGGCAAATAATAAAATAATGTAATTCTTCAGGTTCATTTTGATTTGATTTTGATTTTCTTTTTTTTTTATTTACCTGATAATATTTAGCTAAATAATATATCCAGTTTTTTTTTTTGTATGATGTGTTTGACCTCTACCACCACCACCACCACCAACACATCATCGCCAACAACAAACACACACACACACACACACACAGGTACCGTCCATAGGTTTAAATTAAGTGGATGATGATGATGATGATGATGATGTTATTGGAAATGTCTTTTTTTCCATTCTTTTCTGGAAATTTTCATGACCACACACACACACACACACACACACATACTTGAATTATGCAACAAATTTATTTCCATTCATTAATGATTATTACCTATATTATTTATCATGTGTGTGTGTGTATGTTTTTTTTTATTATTCCTTTTGTTTGTTTAATTCACAACACAGGTCATCTTCGGTGGGGACCATTGAAAACCAAGAAAAAAAAAGACAAAGAAATCCATGTTATTTTATCCAAAGTTTGTTATCATCAAGTTGGAATCATTTACAGCATTAAAAACACAGAGAGAGAAAACAACAACAACAGCAAACAAATCAAAAAAAAGGATGCGTTTCCAAACGTTTTTCATTCTAGCATCAATTATTTTCTATTCATCATGTAAGATTGGCGAAGCAAATCTTTGGTAAGTGTATACCACCACCACACTATGTCGTTTGAATTTTATTTTTTTTCTTCTTTTGAAAAAAAAAAAAACACACAAAGTCCGTTTCATTCATCCATTTGAATACTCATAAATATTCTTACCACATTAGTTTGTGTGTGTGTGTGTCTGTGGTGTGATTAGTGATAATTGATGATGATTTTGTGCATGCATGTGTGTGTGTGTGTGTGTGTGATTAACATAAAAAAAAAGATTTTATGCTAATTCCATGTTCATATTTGATATTTATCCGGTTTGAAAATCGTAAATCGTCATCATTGATTCATAACTTTCCATAAGTGGTCAAATGGTTTTTTGTGTGTTTCATTCAGATATAAAACCAAGAAGAAAAACCAAAAATTTCGTCTTTCTCTCTTCAAGTTTGATATAAATAATGGCCGGAAATGAACAATGGAAAAAAAATTGAGATCAATGTTTCAAGAACAACAACTAAAAACGAATTAAAAAAAGAATGAATGAGAGAGAGAGAGAGAGTATTAAGGTCGTTTATTTGTTACTTATCTAGAAAAAATCCTTAGTAATCGTTTTTTGTATCCACCCCCACGTTTTCGTTTACAACTTGGGTTTCGACCAATTTTTTTTTTCAATTTTCATTATTTACTTAGTGTTCTATCGAGATAGCTTGTTATATAGTCGATCATGGATTCATTTTTACCTGTCTGATGTGTGTGTGTTGGTTGACACTTGAACTTCCAATGAGAAAAAAAATACCATTCAAAATGTCATCGTTGGATCGAATGTGATATTTCTACTTCTCACCGCAATTGGTGGTGTTGTCGTTGTTGCTATTTTAACATGATCATCGACAGATGTGTGTACCGGGGCTTGATCGAACACAATAAACAACAGCAACCAACGGCAAATTGCGGCTTTTTTTTTTTTTTGCTCGTTGATAACATGATTATCGAACAACGAACGATCGATTAATATTTTACTTGATGATGGCGGTAAATTTTGACAAACAGTAGTTACCGTTAATGTGTTTTTTTATTTGTGTGTTTGGTTATTGTCTGTTATTGTTATTGAAACATTCAAAAAAACAAGGAAATGCATCACGAACGGAAGAATAATAAACAATCAAAAATCACTCTTTTTTTCCAATTGAATAAACAAATCCAGTGATTGTACCTATATACATTAATCAATCAATCAATTAATGGTTGTTTGTTTGTTTTTTTTCATTGTTTGCATTAATAAAAAAAAATTCTCCATATCCTAAATAGGTTTCTTAGCCGTTTATTGATTGTCGATCCAAATCGAATATGTAGCAAAGTAAATAGGTTACGTTCAAGACAGGTTTACATATGTAAACGTGAACCAACAATCATATCACAAATCATTAATGGTTCAATTGAATCTGTACGTGAATGTCACTATCAGTTTGCTGATCGTAAATGGAATTGTCCAACGAAAAATAAACGATCAATGAGAAAATTACTTGGTAAAGGTATGTTGTTGTTAATGTTAATTTTTTTATTAATCAAATCGAATGATTTGATTGATTTATCAATAAATAATGTGTAATTTTTTTTACTGCAGATACAAGAGAAACTGGATTTGTTCATGCCATGACATCGGCGGCTATTGTTCATAAAATTGCTACCGGTTGTGCACAAGGTACCATTATGGATTGTTATTGTGATGTAAAAGCCAAACCATATAGAACTTTACATCCAAATTGTAAGTTTACATTAATCCATTATCATGTATATTAACAATGGTGCTAATTTTTTGTTTTTTCACAAAGTTTTATTTGCAGAAAATTACTGCAATAATTATATAAGCTATGCTTATCGTAAATCAAAAGAATTTTTGGATGAAAATCTATGGAAACGTGGTAATGATTTTAAGAATCAAATTCTATTACACAATTACGAAGCAGGACGCTTGGTAAGTTTAAATTTAAAAAGAACAATATTTTTATTTAATAATTGATCTATGAAATAATAATAGTCTGTTAAAAATTATCTGGAACATAAATGTAAATGTCATGGTATGAGTGGTTCGTGTACAACAAAAACCTGTTGGAGACAATTACCGAATCTAAGAAGTGTATCCAATCGACTTAAATATAAATTTGATCTCGCCGTACAAGTGATATCGGATAATACGGGCAAACGTTTCCTACCAGAAGATCATCATTCTCGTTGGCCTAATCCCGAAGATATTGTTTATTCAGAGAGTTCACCAAATTTCTGTAATGTTGATCGTCAAACCGGTTCATTAGGTACACGTGGCCGTGAATGTACAAATAGTACCGGAACCGGTGGTTGCGATATGTTATGTTGTGGCCGTGGTTTTCGTACCATAATGAAACAGGAAAATTGCCGTTGCAAATTCAATTGGTGTTGTCATGTTGTTTGTGAAACATGTCGTCGTCCGATACAGGTTTGTCTTTGAGCAAAAAAAAAAAAAAACAACAACAACAACGAAATAAAAACGCACAAAAGTTTTTTTTATTACAATTTTCAATCTCTCGACAATTCAACAAATGATTTGCATCAATATGCATTTTTTTCCCCACTTGCAATTTGTCACAATTATTTATTCGTTATCTCTAATATCTGTTGTAAATAAATTTTTTCCACAATTTTTTTTGTCATTTGATAATGCTTATTTTGTACAAATAAAAAAAAAATAAATTCATTTGCACGAATTGATTCCATTCATTGAATTCGAAAAATTTTCTACAAATTCAAAATGCTATTTATACCTATCCAGCCCACTGCCATTGAAATAGTCGTCACACTCTCACGTGTTTTCAATGTTTGTCGAAATTTTGAATTTTGAATTTTATTTTTCGTTCTATTTGTTGATAATAAAATGGCTGAATTAATTGATTGGACAGATAATGAAGACATTGTGCGATTGGCGACAGAAAATTCTGAAATTTTAAATGAACATCTTAAAAAATTTCTAAAAAATCTTTTCCCAAAACAAAACAACAATGTGCCAACAAATGAAGAAATTCTGAAAAGTTTAAATCAATTTCATACATTGATTGAACAAATATCCGATCGAAAAGAATGCTATGAATTTCTTGATTATACACTTGATTTGATTGCTGGCCATTCGGTTGTTCGCGACATATTTTTACAATCTTCATGTGGTGCCATTCGTTACAAATTGATACAATTATTCTATTCACTTTGTGTCATTCGAATTGATCATTGTAAAGTGATTGAAAACATTGTTGATTTCATTCTCAGCTCATATCATGCTACACTTTCATTGGAAGGTAAAATGAATTCAATTTATTTTAAGTTACATTTCAAATATATAGACATTTTATTTTCGTTTCATTTCAGATCAAACTTTGATTCAATTATTGTATGTTTTGGAATCAAATGGTTTTAATATGCAAAAATATCATCCATTTATTTGGGGCGAGTCAGGTGCACAGTTTTATGCTGCTAAACATTCACAAAAACTACCATTTCTACGTTCACCAAACATTGATGAAATATTCCAGAATTTCAATGGTCGCTATTTTACAAATTCAATATCTTGCTTTCCGATAGACGTGGCCATTGATGATGAAACAGTACCGATTCTTGAAGGAATAGAATACAGTGATCGATATGATCCTCGTTTCATATTGCCAATGTTTTATCATTTTCTTTCAGTTCAATCGATAGTCAAATATCATAAATTTATCACTTACGGTTGTCTTGCCTATACAATATCGGCATTGTCAAGCTATTGTATACGAATCCGTAATATTGCCTATCGAATATTGGCACGTTTCCATCATCATTTGAATTGTGCCAAATATCCTGAAGATCGACAATTATGGATTGGATTAATTGATTTTATTCGAAGCGGAATGATTGAAGAAAATCAACGTATTGAATGTAGCCATACTGTAATGTTTGCTCGTATCATTGAAATATTATTGAATCCAACATGTCTTCTATTTCCTACAATTCGTAATTTTCTAATTCATTCACAATCAAAACCAATGAATTATCGATCAATACCATTTAGTTTGTATACAGCTTGTATATCCAATATGGATGGAACTAATCCTATATCATACATGTTACATCAAAAATTCATAATCAATTGGATGATTCATTCATTACGGACAGATTGTGATGTTCGTATGTGGCACAAGAGGCAAACCATCACCGATATGTTAACCTATTACAATTCACCATTATGTCCTATCGATAATAGGCCATTAATAATGCGATTATTACAAACTATAGCCAAATTAGTTGAAGGAATTAAAATTCTATGTCAAGAATGTGCAATTTTTGCATGGATCAATCATCAATTGATAATAGAACCACATTATGGTTCATCATCAACATCATCATTGAATAAGGATGCATTGTATAGATTACTAATTAATATTTGGCATACAGCATATATGGAATATCGTCGCCAAAATAAACAACAACAAGAAAAGCCAGACCAATATCATCATCATCACATATTTTATGAATCATTTTGTTTCGAATTAATAATGATGATGAGTAAAATTATTTATAAAGTAAATGATCCCGAACGTATTGATACATTTGTGAATATTTGTCATAAATCATTGAAACATTTACCATCCAATTGTAAACGACAACAACAACAACAACGACAAAAACTCATCAAAACAATTGTTTGTTGTAATTTACCCATTAATCTTGAAACATTATTGGCAGCGAAAAAACAATGAAACAAAAAATTAATGTAAGCCTCTTTTTTTGCAATTCATTTCTTATTTCTTATATATTATTATAATATTTAAAAATGTAAAAAAAAAGATTCCAAATAAAAATTGTTGATGATTTACAACGAACAAACGAGAAAAAGAAAATTAAAAATTTGACTGATTTTTTTTTTGGTCAATTTTTTTCCATTTGTTTGTTTTAAGAAATTATTACCCTGTTCATGTGGCTTTGATTGAAATTGTATAATCAATGTCATTTTGGTGTTATCTTTGTTTGTTTGTTTGTTTGTTTTGCGAGAGTTGATGTGAATCACATTCCATTTGTTTGTTTGTTTACCTGTTTTATGTATATATGTAGGAAAGAATATTCCTGAATTTGTACAAATTTGTTTTTGATATTTACAAATGAATTTCAATTTTAAATAATGATGATCTGAGTATGTTGAGAGGATATGTGTTGTTTGTATTTTAAAATGTTTGGCTCATCATCTTAAACATGTGATAATGGATGTTTACTATTGGAATTGGTTGTACCATTGATTGAACCAATCATATGTGTAAATTGTGAACCGGTTAATGATCCACTACCGCCGCCGCCGCCACCACCACCACCATGATGATGTTTATGATGACCATTATTGGCCATGGCAGCCATCAATGATGGTGGTGGTGGTGGCAAAGGTGGTGGAATCGATGGTGGTCTTGGTGCTAATATTAACGATGCTTGTCTAGATTGCATATCATGTTGTTGATGGACATGTTGATGTAATTGATTATGATGATTATGAAGATGATGATGATGATGATGTGGTGTTGTCGGTTGACTAATCGTAGTTGTTGTTGTTGTTGTTGGTCCAAGATTTACTGTTTGTGTTTTCATTGGCAATGATGATCCACCAACACCATTTATGGCTGATAATCCGGTTATACCTCGGCCATAATAGTTACCCATATTTGGTAATAATTGACTAGCGCCAGAAGAACGTGATGAATTTGGTGAACCAAATGGTCCTGAACAACAAACAATTTTTGAATAAATTCGCATCCATGATTCCAACGTTTTACCAGACCATATCCAAAAACTTGATGTAATACCAATGATTAGACTCATTATATATTTCAATATAATGATACTGAATTGTGGTGTATATTGATTATCATTTTGGTTATCATTATTATTACTACTACTACTAGTACATAAACAAGTGATCGATTTTTCCCATAATGGTCGATAAATGTATTCATAAATGTGGCAGGCTACAACTACAACTTCAGGTACGATATATAAAAATGATGATAAACCAATACGAATCATAAGTTTTTCCAATTTATCTGTTTTAACACGAATTGTATGCTGTGTTTGACGAATTGCACGTCGAATTCGAAATAATGCAACAAAACCGGTAAATAAGAATAGTATGCCAATAGCAATGCATACACATAATGGTGTAATGACAAATATTAATAGATTGGCTCGACTTTGATTACCGACGGTACAAACGCCCATAAATGGATCACCATCAATAGAACCTAAACATAATATTGTCACTGATTGAGCTGTTGGTAGTAACCATGCTAGAAGATGAAAATATTGAGCATAACTAGTGATTGCTTCACTACTCCATTTAAGACCGGCAGCCAAAAACCAGGTTAATGTCAATATAAGCCACCAATATGCTGATGCCATACCGAAAAAATATAGCAATATAAAACTCAATATACATGATGCTGGTGTTGGTCCGGTACGTTGATAACGAATGAATGGTCCATCACAAGCGATAGCATTATGACCCAAACGAATACGTAATAAATAACCACCGGCAATAAAAATATAACAAGCAGCAAGAAAAATGATGGCACGTTCTGGATAACGAAAACGTTCAGTATCGGTTAACGATGTGAATACAGTCAACAAACAAGTAATGGCACAAATAGCAGCTGTAATACCGATCCAAAAGAATGCCGTTTCTTGTTCATTTTCATTAAAATGATATGCACCTTTACAGGATAATGCACACATTGGTGCCAATCCAGATGCTGTTTCAATTTTTGAATAATTAAAATGATGTATCGATTGTTGTTGTTGTTGATATGAATGATAATGATTATGATGTGGATGATGTGGATGTTCATTACCGCCATTATTAATATATGTTCCATCATCAAATGTTTGGCTACCTTTTAAACGTATAAAATATGGCATACGACAATCACATCGACAATTATTATTTGATAATTCACTATTAATCGATGTTTTCATTTCACGATTTAATGATGATAATTTATTATTATCACCATTATTATCATCATAAGTATCAAATATCATGACATTATTGTTATTATCCATTGGTGCAGGTGATGGAGGATAATGTGTTGACGGTGGTGGTGGTGGTGGTGGTTGTTGTTGTTGATGATGATTTTTATTTCCATTATTATTATTGCCTGAATTATTTCTTGATTTAGCTTTGTTGTTCGATGGCTGTTGATGATTATGATTATGAGCTTTATTATTATGATGATGATGATTGAGTTTATCTTCATTAATTTTAACTTCATTATTATTATTGGATAATGGTGAATTGCCATTATTATTATTCATATGTTGATTATCCATTTCAATACCAGCACCTAGCAAAATGAGAAAAAAAAATTTTAGTACCATCGGATACAACTTATATATGCTTACGCCAACCTTTTTTAGGATCCATACAAATTTGATGACCATCACCATAAACTGGTAATTCAGAACAATTCATTTTATCTGGCCATGGAAAACCATATTGTATCATGATTGGTTTACATCCTTTTTCTACAATAATCAAATATTAAAAAAACATTGACCAATTTCAAAAACACAAAACTTACCGCACGTTCACAGACCGATTTACATGATGGTATATGGCCAGGATATTCTTCAATACAAATAGGTGCATACATTGAACATAGAAAGAATTTTAAATCATCCGAACAATTGATCTCGACCAGTGGCCAGAATTGGTGCACTAAAGAAAAAAATTGTGTTAATATATACAATAACATTAAAATTATATATAGACCAGAATTCAAATTTGTGAAAAAAAATTGAACAATTTTCTTCGATCATCACCATCATCATCATCATCAATATGAATATGTGAATCGAATACATTTTTTTCTCTATACGGTAAATCATAAATTGCTTCAGTTTTCTTGTGAGAAAAAAAAATCGATTTACCAAAAAAAAGATCAATAAATGGTACAAAGTGTAAAATGGTAGTGGGCCAGAATATTCTGCTCATTATACATTGACTTTTGAGATGGTGAAAATAAAAATGGGCATCATTATTCAAATTTTTTTTTGCCATTCGTTCCATTTTCTCCAGGAAAAAAAATAAATAAATAAATCGTGCCTTGATCGTTAAATTTACGGTGGAAAAAAATTTTTTGTTCAAACAACACCAGCAGAATTGTTTAGTTGTGAATATTCGCATTTTTTTCTACTTTTGGAAATTTTTCATTTTGGTTTCACTGCAGCAGCAAAAGCAGCAACAGCAACAACAAAAAAAATTTGAAACGACGACAATTTGGTCCAAGAAACATTGAAATGTTTTTTTCTCTCTTTTTTCGGACAATATACTTATTTTGCAAAAACATCTGGTGTGAAAAATGCAAAACACATACTCTATCTACTATACACATAATCGCTATAATAGCCAGAACACAACTAGATGATTAATAATCGAACACACACACACACGCATACAACAAAATTTAACTTGGCTTTTTGTCTTTGAGAAATACCAACAAAAACAAAACAAAAAAGTGAAAGAAAAGAGTTTCTGGCTAGAACGTCAAACAAATTCAATGTCCAGTTTGGTTATATAATACCAAAATAGATGGATCGATAACAACAACAACAACAACAACAACAAAAAACTGTTTTGTGCTATTAATCAACCGTATATGTGGACTTGAATTAAAGTTTTTTTTTCTATTTGTTTCGAATGAAAATTGTTTCTTCATTCGTCCAGTCCAGTAGAAGTTGACCATCACTCTTTCTTTGGATATTTCGCTCGATAATGATTTTTTTTTTTGGTGGATTCGGTTGAATAAAATTTAAATTTTATTTCAAAACGCAATGAATAAATTTTCCAAATTCTAACCTAACCAAATTCTATCCAAAATGTCATTACACTCTGTCATTTCTGGTGGTGATTGATTCTCGGGCCCATAAAGATATCATCATCTTTCATTTGATTGGTTCATACCGTTTGTTTGATTGTTTGTTTGTTTGACAGATGGATCGATTCTCATTTTGAATGATGAAAAACTCAATTTTTGCTTGTTTACTACTTCATATATTGTTTTTAAATTATCACTAAACACGCGAACCGCATTATTACATTTCATTGACAATTGATGGCTATAATAAATTATTATTATGATTATTGCTCGTCACTTGACAATTTATTTATTTGACAATTCAAGAAATTGCCGCATAACCATTATTCGTGAATATATATCGGATTTACCCGTATATTGTTGACGGTAATAGATTCGTCGAAATTGAAATTATAATCTAGATTGACAAAAAAGAAAACTACCTTAGTCATACACACACACACACACACAACACAACAAAACAAGACAGGAACCTAACGGAAACAAGACTCATCCATCATTCAAAAAAAAAAAAAAAATTCAGTTCTGTTGATGAGAATGATGATTGATGATGATTCATTCATCAGAGGAGTGTAACGAACCCGAAATTGTTAGGAATTATGTACAATATGGACTAGGCCCAATTTTTTTTTGTCTTGATTGTTCACCATTCGATTTGATTGTGTTTTATTTTAGATATATTGATTTAAATAAAAATGATAGCGAAACTTACCTTCCAATCCTGCTTCTTCTTGTGTTTCCATTTCAAGTAGATTTGGCATCGATGTATAATTATAACCAATATCCATACACATTGGTATGGTTATTTTTCACAACGTTGTTCACCATTATCAATGATTGATCCTGGTGAATTGGATCCTGCTGCGGATGATGATGATGATGATGATAAAACAGCTGTTGATGATGCTGCCGATATCATACCGACATTCACTGTTGAAATAGATGTCGATATCGATTCGAATAACAAGAATAGAATCGATATGAATATTATTGTTGTCGCTGTTGATGATGACATCTTGATATGATGGTTTTTTTTTTTTTTGGTTGATATGTGGTTGTGAATGTGAAAAGTGATCAAAAATATCCAAAAAAAAAAAAAATTTAATCAATCAATCAACACCATTATTGTTTGTTTATAGGTGTCCATATATACGATTGATGATGTAACAATTTAGTAATGATTTTTAAATTCCAGATCCAGAATCAAAATTTTCTTTTCGTTGTCAAACTCGAATGTTCTGGTCTAGTCTAAAGCGTTTGGTGGTTGAAACCTGAAACAAAAAATGGTTGATTAAAAACGTGGTTGTTGTTGTCATGCATTGATTGATATACTCAATAGTCATGTTCATTTTTGATTGTTTGTGTAATGATGACACATGAGATTATTATTATTATTGAATACAGGTAAAATAATCATAATCATAATGGCCTTGTATTTTTTGGTTATTTTAAAATTCTTGTTTTTTTTTCTGTGACAAATAAGCTTAAGTGTTTAAGTGTGTGTAAGCCATATATAATGATAATGGGGCATGTGGTGTGTGTGGTATGAAACATAATCATGGCCACATTAGGCTATTGGCAACAATAACAATGACAATGGTTTAGGTTGTCCATTACCATTGCTGGGCCAAATAAAAAAAAATAGGTAAAAGGAGATTTTCAAAAAGTCCATCCAGGTGTGAGTGTGTGTGTGTGTGTGTGATTGCATGATTAAACAAATACAAATCATTTTTTAAAAAAAAAAATCATGCTTAAATAAACACCACCACCGCAACTACCACCACCACCAATCATCATCGAATGGATCAATTTGTCCATTTTTTTCCAGAGAACATGTACATCTTGATAATCATCATCATCAATTATTTGTTGTTGTCTACATTTTAGAACAAATTCAATAGACTGAACTTCCTGTTTCTCAACATTATGGCTACATTTTCATTCATTTTTTTCGAGAACCAAAAAAAAAAAAAAAAAATCAAATCAATGAATTGGATCGATAATGGGCGGATAAATTGATCTGTATATACTTTTTTCAGCCCATTTCTTTGTTGTTGTTGTTGTTGTTTGGCATTTTTATGCAATTTTTTTGCATTCATTCATTCATTTTCAGAATCTGAACATGATGATGATAATAATAAGAGTATGAAATTTGAATAGCAAACAACAAGAAGAGAGCAAGAGAGAGAGAGAAAAAAGTTAATTCCAGATTCATGGCTTTTGTTGTTGTTGCCTATTGTTCTTTTTCTCTGTACCATTTATTTATTCTCGAGTGTGCCGAAAATCGAGAACTAGCAGAATTTTTTTTTCGCCATTCAAAAGTTGTATGTTTTTTTTTTTTTGGCGAAATTTAATGATAATAATGCCATCAACAAAAAAAAACTGAATAAATAAATAAAACCAATGTCTCGTATTGTGATTCTTTTATTCATTTTCATATTTTGTCGAATAATTTCTTGAATTTTCTTTTATGTAAATGAGATGTATGCGGCATACGCATATATATACAATGTATCGTTAAGATTGGTTTTTGTTTCTGGATATTTTTTTCGTGTTTGAAAAAAAAATAAAGTTCACTTTCTAATGGCTTTGATTTTTATTTTTCGTTCGAAAATGAATGAATGATAACCATATATATATATATAGTTCAGGTGAAAACCGCCCAACTTTTTTTTTTTGATGATACTGGTGTTGACAAACAACACCCACGCACACACACACACATACCGGTAACATTTATTGATTGTCCATAATGGATGTCCCTAGTGGGCAACAATTTTTTTTTTTTGTTCCACACATTCAATGAATAAATATTTCTAGGAATCAATTTTTTTTTTTGTTTTCTGAATGATTGAAAATGATGATATTTTGAATGTTTCCCTTGCGAATCATGATAATAATCGTTTTTTATCCGGTATTAACTGTGGTAGCGGTGGCAGCGGTAGTAGTAGTAGTAGTAGCCATCATCATCATCAATTAGAAACATTGATATTTATTTTTGAAGAAAAAAAAGAAGAATATTCTGAAACAAATCTAGAATCTCAATGGATGATGATGATGATAAAACAGCTGTTGATGATGCTGCCGATATCATACCGACATTCACTGTTGAAATAGATGTCGATATCGATTCGAATAACAAGAATAGAATCGATATGAATACCATTATTGTTTGTTTATAGGTGTCCATATATACGATTGATGATGTAACAATTTAGTAATGATTTTTAAATTCAAGATCCAGAATCAAAATTTTCTTTTTCGTTGTCAAACTCGAATGTTCTGGTCTAGTCTAAAGCGTTTGGTGGTTGAAACCTGAAACAAAAAATGGTTGATTAAAAACGTGGTTGTTGTTGTCATGCATTGATTGATATACTCAATAGTCATGTTCATTTTTGATTGTTTGTGTAATGATGACACATGAGATTATTATTATTATTGAATACAGGTAAAATAATCATAATCATAATGGCCTTGTATTTTTTGGTTATTTTAAAATTCTTGTTTTTTTTCTGTGACAAATAAGCTTAAGTGTTTAAGTGTGTGTAAGCCATATATAATGATAATGGGGCATGTGGTGTGTGTGGTATGAAACATAATCATGGCCACATTAGGCTATTGGCAACAATAACAATGACAATGGTTTAGGTTGTCCATTACCATTGCTGGGCCAAATAAAAAAAAATAGGTAAAAGGAGATTTTCAAAAAGTCCATCCAGGTGTGAGTGTGTGTGTGTGTGTGTGTGTGTGTGATTGCATGATTAAACAAATACAAATCATTTTTTTAAAAAAAAAATCATGCTTAAATAAACACCACCACCGCAACTACCACCACCACCAATCATCATCGAATGGATCAATTTGTCCATTTTTTTCCAGAGAACATGTACATCTTGATAATCATCATCATCAATTATTTGTTGTTGTCTACATTTTAGAACAAATTCAATAGACTGAACTTCCTGTTTCTCAACATTATGGCTACATTTTCATTCATTTTTTTCGAGAACCAAAAAAAAAAAAAAATCAAATCAATGAATTGGATCGATAATGGGCGGATAAATTGATCTGTATATACTTTTTTCAGCCCATTTCTTTGTTGTTGTTGTTGTTTGGCGTTTTTATGCAATTTTTTTTGCATTCATTCATTCATTCATTTTCAGAATCTGAACATGATGATGATAATAATAAGAGTATGAAATTTGAATAGCAAACAACAAGAAGAGAGCAAGAGAGAGAGAAAAAAAGTTAATTCCAGATTCATGGCTTTTGTTGTTGTTGCCTATTGTTCTTTTTCTCTGTACCATTTATTTATTCTCGAGTGTGCCGAAAATCGAGAACTAGCAGAATTTTTTTTTCGCCATTCAAAAGTTGTATTTTTTTTTTGGCGAAATTTAATGATAATAATGCCATCAACAAAAAAACTGAATAAATAAATAAAACCAATGTCTCGTATTGTGATTCTTTTATTCATTTTCATATTTTGTCGAATATAATTTTTTGGAATTTTCTTTTATGTAAATGAGATGTATGCGGCATATGCATATATACAATGTATCGTTAAGATTGGTTTTTGTTTCTGGATATTTTTTTCGTGTTTGAAAAAAAATAAAGTTCACTTTCTAATGGCTTTGATTTTTATTTTTCGTTCGAAAATGAATGAATGATAACCATATATATATATATAGTTCAGGTGAAAACCGCCCAACTTTTTTTTTGATGATACTGGTGTTGACAAACAACACCCACGCACACACACACACATACCGGTAACATTTATTGATTGTCCATAATGGATGTCCCTAGTGGGCAACAATTTTTTTTTGTTCCACACATTCAATGAATAAATATTTCTAGGAATCAATTTTTTTTTTTTTGTTTTCTGAATGATTGAAAATGATGATATTTTGAATGTTTCCCTTGCGAATCATGATAATAATCGTTTTTTATCCGGTATTAACTGTGGTAGCGGTGGCAGCGGTAGTAGTAGTGGTAGTAGTAGCCATCATCATCATCAATTAGAAACATTGATATTTATTTTTGAAGAAAAAAAAGAAGAATATTCTGAAACAAATCTAGAATCTCATTGGATGATGATGATGATGATGAGAATTTATGATCCATTTTATGATATTTTAATTGAGCGTGTTATGAGAAGGAGTGGAAGATAGAGAGAGAGAGAGAGAGAAAGAGCTCAAGAGATTTTTGTTTGTTTACTGGAAACATTCATGAATTCATTTGTATATACAAGCCACGGGAATGATTATTATTATTATTATTATGGTCGGTTAATAATGATAATGACGACGATGACTACCATTATTATAATGTCTAGGTGTGTATACATCGACCGGTATATATGTAGTATACAACCGGTAACCAGCCCATTGTTTATGTTTTATATATATTGACAAGTGAAAATATTCCAGTTATGGCCAATTTGATCAATTATTCTGATGATGATTACATTCTTTATGGGCCATTTTTATATCATCATAAACATTGACAATTGAATAAAGCAATTATAATCATACCTTTTTTTTGGTGGTTGTTGTCTTTTAATCGTTGGTCGTGATTTTCTGGCATTTGAATTGATAATAAAAATGAAATACAATCACACACACACTCATACACACACTTGAGTTTCTGAATTTTAATTGAATTTGAATTCACAAACAATTTGATTTTGTTTTGTCTCGTGTTTTTTTTTCTGTTGTCGTTGTTGTTGTTGTTGTTGTTTTGTTGAGCTTGTCACGAATCATAGTGAGTTAAGATTATTACCCGAACAGAATCGAAAATGATTCTGGATTGCCAAAATATACAGAATATTCTGAGTTTGGTTTTTTTTTGCTTCTTGCTTGCACTTGATGAGACAGCTGAGAGCAAGATGTAAAAAGGAACATATAGGAATAAGATTTGTGCGGCAGCGTAGTAAAACAAAACAGAATTCTGGTTTATATCGGCATGGTTTTGCTGGATATATAACATACACTGCTACCAGTTTGAACCATTTGGATGGTCGATGGTGGTGGTGGTGGTGGTGGCAGCAGCAGCAGCAACAGCAGCAAAAGTCGTAGATGCAGAATCAGTTTTTCCGTTTTTCTAGTTTGTCTCGGGTTTTTTTTCTTAGTTTGATAGATGAAGAATCGGATTTTAGCCCGTTTTTTTCGGTATTTTGTTACATAAGGCAATATGTATGGCTCACTGTTGTGTGTGTGTGTGTGTGGTTGTTGACGGGTACAATCGTCTCTTGGGAGTTTCAAAGTTTCCAAAAGTTCAGCGACTCTTACCCGGTGGTGGTTGTGGTGGTGGTGGCTGGTTTTGTCGTTGTGTTTTTTTCATTATGTGACTTGAAATGGAATTGTTCCAATCATTTTTGTTGCAAGAATTGATAAACAAAAAAGCGCATGTATTTTCCACATCACACTTTGCAGTATTGAATATATCACGGGAAATACGGAACAAAAATTCAAAAAAATATCCGTTGTTCTTAGATAAAACCAACATTATCGTGCTATTTTGACGTTGTGATGATTGAAAATAAAAACAATGTCACCGATGATTGGTTAAAATAGAATCGAATGTTTTATATTTTCTCTATTGAAAATGTTAATATGATGATGAGATTTAGATGAAATGAATTGAAATTTTCATTTTTGTTTTGTTTTTCCGTTTTTCGTTTTTTTTTTGGGGGAATCCAAATGGAACTTACCCAACCAAATGTATTTGGTGAATGTAGGCCGTTTGTGTATGGGCGAACACACAAACACACACACATCGTGTCACATGTCATGTTTTTTTTTTTTTGGTCCATACTTTTGTTTCGACGATGATGATGAATGACTTTTTTTTCGTTCATTCATTTGTTCCCCATTCTCGTTCTTTTTTTTTTTCATTTGGACATTCTTCATTATATTGGGATGTACCCAATGTATGTGTGTGTGTGTGTGTTCATGTGTTATTTGTACAATTCACAATTCTGTATCGGTAAAAGCTTTTTCTCTTTTGCAATTCCATTTTTACTTTTATTTTTTTTTTTTTTTTTGGTTCAGTCCAACCATTTTCAACCATCATTAACAGAGCGAATAGTGTTCCGATGTTCGTCCGAATTACCAGAATTTGAAACGAACATCGAAAAAGGTAAGCCAATGCATATAACGAATGGTTGCTTGTTGGCTTGTTCTGTTCATTGCATCTTTTGTGTTTGAAATGAACAACAGAGAGATAGTGAATGAAAACATTTGCATATTCGTTTGATACATACAGACATACACACACAAAACCAAAAATGGTTATGTGGTTTTCGATTCTGTAACAACTTGTTTGTTAATAATTAATTCTGTATGCTGAAATTCTTCATAAAACAAAATGGGGTAAAGGGGTAAAAATGAAAATGTATGAAAATGTTGACCTGACCTGAAATGGTTACAAAGTTGAAGTGTAAATGTGTGTGTGTGTGTTTGAAGTGATGAAAAATTTATTTGAAAAAATTTTTTTCTTTTTCTCTATAGAAACCAAGACAATTGTGTTGTTATTGTTGTTGTTGTTGTCATTGTAAAATGTAATTTGAATTTTCAATTGCATATATCCATGAGAATTTGTTGTCGTTATGTGGAATTTTAAATGCAAGAAAAAAAAAATTTTTTTTTGTATTCGTGAATTTTCAAGTTGGAATTCAACAAAAAAAAAGATCAGCAACCACCACACTACACCACTATAGAAACATTTTCAGATCAAGTTTATGACATAATAATGAAAATAAGAAACAGAATAAACAAATAACTATTTCATTACATTTGTGTGAAAATAAAGAAGATGAAGATGAGATGTGCAAAAGTGATAATAAATTTTCATTAACACCATTAGTAGTGTGTGTGTGCACCATCCATCCAATATAGCAGGCCCATCCACCAGTAAAACAAACTAAAAACAATACAACACATCAACCCCCAAAAAACCAGGAAAATTTTTCCTACCTATAAAAATAACAGGCCAACATTTTTTTTTTTTTTTTTTGCTAATAAAAATGACTTTTACTGAAACAAAAACAAAATCGAAAAAAAAACGACAGTGTACTTAACACAAAGTGATGTCCTATGAACATTTATGGATGTGCATTGTTTTCTTCGTTTTCTGGATGTAAAAAAAAAAAAAATTCCCCACCATCCGCCACCCCCACACCACATCACCATCATGTTGAACTTATTGACTTTTGCCCGAGATAATATCCTCTATCTCTCTCTCTCTCACACGGTATGTGATGAATCTAAATTGAATTAAATGGATCAACAACAACAACAACAACAGCAAAAACATAACATGATGATCAAGATAAGTTTTTCTTTTTCACATTTTTTTTCTATAGTATAGAATAAATGGAAAAAAAAGAAGAAAAACTTTTGACGCCCGGGTTATACACAGTCGTTGGCCAAAAAAAAAAAACATTAATTATTTATCTATCTATATCGAATATAAATATAACACTGGGTGAGAGAGAAGAGTTTTTTTTCACCCTTATTTTGTTGATGATGTTTCCATTGGAACTGGAATTGGAATTATTATTCACATTATGCAATTCAAATGTAAAACAAAATTTACACTATTTCAACAACAACGATGGATCGATTTTGAAGAAAAAAAAAGTTCAACGAAACGTAATTCCCGTTGAAGAAATGAAAAAAAAAAAACATTCAAAGTTACACACACACACACACACAAGATCAATCACATCATTCTGTCTGTGTGACAAAGCAAAATTCTGGAGAGAGAGAGAGAGAGAGAAATGAAATAAATCTTTGTTTTTAGTTTAGGTTGTCGGTCTGTGTTTGTTGGATTTTTCCATTTTCCTATTTGATTGGAAAGCTAAACAATGACAACAGCATCAACAGCAGCAGCAGCAGTAGTAGTTTGGATCCAAAAAAAAAATCCCGAATAAATGAATGAAAAGAATGACAACAAAAGCAATATAATAAATGAACGAATCTTCTTTTTTTTTTTTTTTTTGTAATCATCAGAAAATGAGATTCTGTTTCTATTCGATATCCAGGTTGCAAAATTACAGGTTTTTTTTCTTCTTCTTCTTCTTCTTGCTCATTGTCCAGGAGATTGGGATGCAAGATTGAAGATTGTTTGTGGCCGAAAAACGAAAACAAACATACAAATCACACTGCTGCTGCTGCTGTAATGCTGTTTTTTTTTGTCTGTTTGCTTGCAATAATAAAAATCAAATCAAATCCCTAATGAATCGAATAAAATGTTTCGTTCATCGGTTTTTTTTCCATTGGCTAACAAAAGCAACCAACGAAACTTTTTTTTTTACCTTTTTTGAATTGATATAGTTGATAGGTAGGTAAGCTCGTCCAATTTCCAATTATAAAAATGTGTTTGGCAATTAATTTCAGAAGAAACAAAAAATTTGTGATTTTGGAACGGAAGGAAATGTCTGCGTGTGTGTGTGTGTGTTTTTGTGCTTATTAGAAACAGAATTTGGAACAACAACAACAAAATAATCGATGATGATCGATTGTATCTCTCATAACAATCGATTGTGTGTGATTCACGATGAGAACTGGTTTTTTCCAGTGTGAAGAGTAAAGTTTATTTTTCTGTAATGGTCATTTGTGATGATGATCATATGTTTTTTTTTGTCTGGCGTGAAAATAATTTTAATTTTTTTTAAAAACAAAATGGTTCAACATGATCAAAACAAACAACAGCAACCATTATTATGTTTGGATCGTTTGATCCAAGATCTGGAACAATTGAGCCATGATCATCAAACAGCCGATATTATTTTCATTGTGGACAATCAAAATGAATCCACCAGCAACAACAACAACAACAACAACAAAAATGAAAACAATAAAATCTCAACAGAAGATGGACAAAATAATGAATGTGATACATTGTATGCACATCATTTGATTTTACGTACCAGGTATGTATTTATTCATTCATTTCAATGACGAATGATGAATTCTGTTACAATTCTGGACAATGTTACCAATTCGTGTGTGTGTGTGTGTGTTTGAATTGAAAACCTGGCAATTTGCATGCAAACAAATCATAAATCATTTTATTATTATGGTGCACCAAAAAAATATTAATCATTTTACCATACCAATAATAGGTATTATTTTTTTCGAACGTTGTATCAGATTTGAATCCAGAAAAAAAAATTCAGATTCGAAAAAAATATGGCAGCAATTTTTTTCCCATTGATTTCTCTTGCCCATATTATTTGCTATTGTGTGATACCACTGTAATCAGTAAATTGTTGATCAGCTATATGTATTCAAACGAAAATCAATTATCTCTATAGAGACAAAGTGTTGAAATTGGCGAATGATGATGATGATGATGATGATGACTCATTCATAACCACATTATCATTATTATTATCAATATAGTCATTATATATGGTTTCATGCAAAAAACAATAGAAAGAAAAAAAAATATTGACTGACGATAACAACAAAACGATTTTCATAATTTTCATTGAATCAAGTAATCTGATCTCTGAATGATGATGATGATGATATATTATCTCAGACCAAAAAAAAAGTGAATTTTTTTTTGGCTATTAAATGAGAAAATCACGATTTGATTTGATTTATTACAACACACATATATATGTGAATGTGAATTACTGACTCTTTCTTTTCATTTTTTTATTTTATTTTATTTATTTATGACCATAATTAATCAGTGATTGTTGAACATCTTTTCTCTTTGTTTGTCTATGGTTACTAACGGGAAGTTTGATTCACCAAAAAAAAATGAATAACGGAAGTTGAAATTTCATATTAATCATCTTCTCCCTGTTCTCATTGACTAGACAAACAAATATTGAAGCGATTGATGATGGTTCGATATATCGATCCTGATCAGGATGAGATGATGATGATATCCTATCGTCAAATGGAAATGTAAATGGACAGATAAAACCAATGTTTTCGCGTGTGTGTGTGTGTGTGTGTGTGTGGACAAAGACCCCAAACATAATGGAACGTGACTTATTTTGTTTTGTGAAAAAAGAAAAAAAGTTTGACCAAAGCACATCTTTTTTTTCTGCTATATCGGACAATGGAATTTTATTCTGGTTCGTTTTTTTCTGGACATTTTGTTTGCCATTGAAAGAAAAAATTGAAATCCGATATATTACATATTCAGTCGATTTAGATTATATATATATTGACTTTGGTTTTTTTTTCGTCCACTAAAATTGATTTTAGTTACTGAGTCTCTTTGGTGACTCATGTTCATCGTGAATATATATTCAATTAACTATGATGTTGATCATCATCATCATTTTGATTCAATATCCAATGATTTGTTATACGATACTTGAATATGGAAATTCTTTATTTTTCAGTCAAACAATAATTTTGAAATTTGATTCAGTTTTTTTTTTGCTGAAGAAAAATTGCCGTTTTTTGGCTGAATTATTCAAGCTGAAAATAAAATTTTCATCGTAAAAATGGTTGGTGGTGGTGGTGGTGGTGGTGGTGGTGGTGACAAATAGAAACCAATGAACAATGGAGATGTGTCTCTTTCTTATCATTTGGATACCAGACACACACACTAAAATCACACCAAGCCACCAAAAAGACAACAAACAATACAGCATCACATACAAGCTATGTATAAATAAATAAATATTCAATCAATGAATGTGATGATGATCATCACGATCACATCAGATCATCAATTTGTCTATATATATCTTCGGTTTTTTAAGATTTTAACTTGTAAAGAGAAAACAAAATTAGCACCATATAGAAACAAAACAAAACAAAACAAAAATCTCTGTAATTAGCTTTTTTTTTATTTGTCAGTTTCGTAATTCTGGTGATGATGATGATGATGATGTAAATGTAACTCTTTTTTTTCCATTTTATTTTTATTTTTATTAAAGTTTTTCTTCTTTTTTTTCGTGTGAAAAACAAATCCTTTTTTTTGTACTTTTTGCTATGAAAAGTTTTTTTTCTTCTTTCTGGAACCAAAAAAGGATTTATCTTTCTTTCTTTAATACACACACTGCAAGCCAAAGGAATTAATTAGTTTTATATTCAAATTAGATTTTCATGTGTGTGCATGTAAGATGCAACTTTCGTCTTTCTTATATGATGATGAGCTTAAATAAATCTCTAGCAAATACGAAAACAAAGTTTACAATTCAATAATGATTACATAGGATAGTAGTAGAAGTAGTTGTTGTTGTTGTTAGCAAAAAGCAAACATTATGCTAATGATTCGGGTAAATAACGGAAAAAAATTCCATTGCATATCAATCGATCCAAAATATGAAAGAATGCCCTTCGGCTTCAGGTTAACCTTCTTATTTTCTGCTGTTGTTATGTTGGCAAATAATGTACCAAAACAAAGAGAAAAGTTTAACTGAGAAAAAAAAATCAGGAAGTAGCGAACAACAAATATCGATTGATTTTGAACAGAAAAAATAAAAAATGAAGAATTTCGATCCAACCAATACTTTTTTTTTTTTTCTCGTGGGCGCCTTGTTATTGATTATTGTTTTTTTTACATCTCAACGAAAAACGGGAAAAATTCTAAGAGCAAGAGAATTTGTTTCATTTTCAAAATTTTTTTTTCGCAATAACAAACTTGCCTTGAAAGAAGAAGAAGATGATGATGATTGCAATCAACGAATATTTTGCTATTGAAAGTGAAAACGGGCGAGATAGAAAAAATGAGATGATACAACAATGTTTTCATTTCATTTTTTCTCCATTCTTCTCTAGCAATAATGATGATGGTGGTGGTGGTGGTGGTGACAAAATGTTTTGAATCAGCAGAAAAAAACGGCCCAAGCCAGATGTAATTAGTTGAGACTGGCTGTTGTCTTTGTTGTTGTTGTCGTTGTTGTTTTTTTTAATTAATGTTTCCGTTGTTTTTTCTTTTGAGGCTTGCTGGCCTTTCAAATTAGTTTGCTGTGTTGCTGATTTTGTGTCAATGATTGTTGAACAACGAAGACATGACTAATTCATTATGCCAGTTTCATTATTTTTTTTTCTTTTGGTTAATTATTATTTCAATAAAAGTTTGACCATTTTTTTTTGTTTTTTTCATAGATGCCAAAGTTTTCAAAATGTATCATCATCGGATATTTGTTGTCGACAAATGTTTGGAACCACCATAACACATGATGGTCAAACTTGGTAAATACTATGATGATTATAGTTGTGAGAATTTATAAACTTTGTTGGTTTTTTTTTGATTTTTACAGGATAATACGATGGCCACAAATCAAACCACATGCATTACGAAAAGTATTGAATTATGTTTATACATCAAAAATTGAAATCAATGATGATGATGATGATGACGATATATTTGACATGTTAACCATTGCATATGAACTTGGCCTTGTTGAATTGATTGACATTGGTGAAAAACGAATTGCTACTACTATTGATGTACAAAATGTTTGCCGATATTTGGATAAAGCTATTGAAATTTGTAGAAAAATTCAGGGTTTGTTTTGATGAATATGGTTTATATTAAATTTCTGTTGATTTTTTTTTTTTGTTTTCGATAGAGAATGGTCCAAATCGAATCATTGATCTTTGTATGCAATTCATCAATCAAACTGCCAACGAATGTGTAAAAACGTATGATTTTTGTTGTTGTTGTTGTTGTTTTGAAATCTTTGTTGATGATAATCTTGTTATTCTCATTGATATATTCTATAGAGAATCATTTCGTAATATTTCAAAAGAAACAATGATTCATCTGTTAAGATCCGATCAATTTTCATTGGATGAAGCGGATGTATTTCGTTGTACGATTGAATGGGCTAAACATCAAACTGGAATACATAAATTAGTTGAACATTGGAATGAAGATGATCGCAAACGTATACAGAATCAATTATCAGGCGTCATTAATCATATACGAATATTGTTGATTGATAGTCAAGTGTTTGCTGAAGAAGTTGAACCAACTGGTGTCATACCGATTGAACTTTCATTGGAACGATATCGATTTGCTGCTCTTGCCATTAATAACAACAATAATAATTCAAAGCCATAAATCTCAAAATCATCATCAACAACAAATTCATGATTCAATTGGTAACAAACGATTAAAACCACGATCAACGGGGAATGTTTATCGATTATTTCTTGAATCAAAATTATTATCAAATATGAATGTTAAATATGAGCAAACATTAAACGATTGGTATGGCAACATCCATGGAACGAATAATAAACAACGTTGGCGATTGATATTTCGTGCAAGCGAACATAAATTCTCTGCCGAAGCATTTCATAATTATTGTGATGGAATGGCACCCACGTTTGTTCTTGTATTGAGCACAAAAGGTTATCTTAGCGGTGGTTTTTGCGATATACCATGGACCAGTGGTAATCGTGGCCGTGGCTGTTATGCATCATCAGAAAAATCATTTCTTTTTCGATTGAAAACACCATGCGATGAACAACCACCTATTAAATATGAAGTGAAAAAGAAAATCTTTGCCATCGGACATATGGCCAGTAAAGGACCAGTTTTTGGTGCCGGTGCCGATCTTCTTCTTGCCGATAGTTGTCATTTAAATGAAGATAGCTATTCAAATCTTCCACATTCATATGATGGACCCGATGCTTCGGTCGATACATTATTTGGATCATATTATTTTACTGCCGTCGATTATGAAGTGTTCACAATATTGGCTGACAATTAAGATTCGAATTTTCTCACAAACCATCGATAGAATCGATTACGATGTACATTACATTAAATCATCATTCATGCATTTTATGTGACACATTGCAAGAATTTTTTTGTTTGTTCCATTTAATTATTTTTTTTTCATTCATTTTTACATTGTAAATCAAATTTTATTAAATTGTGATAATTATCACCTAAATTTGGAATTAATTCATTCATTCGTTTAATTTGAAATGAGTAACCGTACCAAAGGGAATGTTAAAGTATGTTTTTAATTAGCGAATTGTGTGATTTGTTTTTCTATCATTTCATTTTGTTTTTCACAGCCTTCAAATAGTGAACGTGCATCACGATTGTTGACAACGAATAAATTTCTATCATTTTCTGAAGCTTCGAAAAATTTATCTTCAGTATACAAGACAACCGATGCTACTGATGGTGGTGGTGGTGGTAGCCGACAAAATGATACATCAGCATTCGATTGTGAAATTGGTACAGATTTTCAACATGTATTCAAACATATGGCCAAAAAAGATGTTAATACCAAAATGAAAGCATTGGAAGAGTTTATTGAATTATGTCGTAACAAAAATCCTACGGAATTGTTGAGTATAGCAAGATTTTGGTTCCGTGTTTATAGAAAATTGGCAAATTCTTTAGAATGGAACATACGTAATGCTAGTCATGAAGCACAATATCGATTCATCTCTTCCATAGATTATGATTTGATTATTGAATATTTTGAACCATCCATAAATGAACAACAGTTCAATGATTATCGTACGGGAGAAATTTCTTTTCAAACATTGATCACAATGTCAGCCGTTATGTGGAATTCATGTTTCGATGCCTATAGTCAACCATTTCAATCTGCACGAAATGTATTTAGACATCTTTTTTCACGTGAAAAAACAATCCATTTTCTATTGGTTAATTGTGATTCGATTCTCAACTATTGTCTATATTTTATTTTCAACAAAATTCCTATCGAGCTTTTCTACAATACATCATTACCGACTGATTCGATTCGAATGTTTGAAGATCATCAATTGGGTACCTGTTTACTTGGCCTATCCACAATGATCAATGAATTAATGTGTTTCTATGTAAAAAATAACATCGATGATACTCATAATGTTTATGAATGTTTGGAAAAAATTTTCATTCATCTCAATGAAGAATTTGTTCGAAGTAAAGGCTTGGCGGAGGATGGTGATCGAACAACAACAACAACAAATGCAACAACAATCTTGTCAACAGATAAAACGCTGGAAAAACAAATGGAAACTATACATGAATTGGAAATGAGTAGAAAAGAAAAGAAAAAATTACGAAAAGAAATGAACAACAAAAATGATCAAGCTAGAAAACAAGATTCAAGAATCATGACTTGTTCATTGTGGAATTGTACAAAATCGAACAATGATTACATTCGAATAGCATCATTTCAAGCATTAACTGCATTCACTCGATTGACGAGTTTTCTTGCCATTGATTCAGAAGAAAAATTTCTTGAAAAACACTCAAACATTTCCACAAGATTATGGTTCAAATTGTACAAAGGAAATTATTTTCCCACCATTATGAATGGTATGGTCGATTCGACTATTGAAATTCGTGGCATTTCCTGGGTGCTAGCTTCACATTTGTTATCCAATAATAATGGTAGCTTTTTCAATTTATGGTCAGTGATTAATCGTAATGATTGGCTAACGAAAACATTGAAACCTTTCATCAATAATGGAATGAAATCATCTGGTTCAATCATTGATTTTGGTATCGATCGTATTGGATTCAAAAGCTATTTGGCCATATATCCCGAACTATCATATCCAATGGAATCTTATTTCAGCGCTCTTAGTCTGATATGTCCAACGTACCGTGACCGTTTTATGAAAGATTTTAATGATAAAATCAATTTGATCACCATGTTCATTTGTTCATTCAATCAAAATCAATCATCGGATTGTCAATTTTTAATATTTGATTTATTTCTCACCAACCTGTTGGATTCATTCAATAATATTGGCCTTTTAACCGATATGTTGTTTCTGATTGAATTATTCTTTAACATATCATATTTAGCTTTGCTTGAATGTTTTAAATCAAACAATGACAACGGAAGTGAACAACCAAAACAAATAATGATCACATCAATCGTTGAACATTTGAATAATTTATTAAAACGAACAACAACAACGAAAGATGGCAAACGTGACCTATTTCTTCGAAGTCAGGTTTATCTAAATCATTTGTTATTGATTAACCGTGTGAAACAAATCGATGGACATCAATTGTTTGAAACACAGTTACTTGTAGTTTATGAAAATCTATTGGCCAATTTTCATGATGATGATGATGATGATGATGATGATCGTTTGGCAGTACTACGTTTTCTAACCGAATCATATTATCATTGTGATGGCTATTTTTCCTATGATTATTATTGTACCGAAATGGAATTGAATTATGAACGAAATGTTTGGAAAGTATTGAAACAACAATTGAATCAACAATGCAGTGGCAGTAAACAAGTAAAATTTGAACAAGATGATGATATTGATGATGATGATCATTTCTCATTGAATGAGAAAAAATTGTTTGAAAATTGTACCTTACCCAATCGAATAATAACTATAACAAATGAACCACCGATTTCATTGTTAGTGATGATACCATCACTTAATCTACATGTCATTCGAATTGTTGATAAACTTATTGCTCATCTGGATCGTATGTTTGAAACGAAATTTCAATCAAATTTATCGATAAAAGAATTTGAGAATGAATTTCGATCCATATATTACATGTTGATTCATCTTGAATATATAACTAGATCCGTGTCAAGTTCAAAACCACTTGATGAACATTGTTCTCGTTGGTTATCGATGATCTATTCAATCTGTTCACGTTTTACCGATGATAAATGGATCAAATATCGTTACATGATAGCTATTGGTTCGAAAATACTCGATGTTTATATTGTTCATATGGCCAAAAGTGAATCATCATTATTGTCGAATCTGAAAATGTTTCTTACTAATCTTGATCCATTTGCATTTTGTATTGTAATCAATCATTTGGATCAAATACGAAATGTAACCACGTCAGATGTGTATGAAAAATTTTTGAAAAATTATTTTAAAATTATCGATAATTATGTGACGAATGACGAATATGAATCGTTGATCATTCATCGACAGCTGATGATTGTATTCAAAACTGTGGATGAAAATCGAATGGATTTTGAAACTGCAATATTGGAAGAATTATTGGATCGTTTAATCAAATCATATAATAATGATAATAAAAATCAATCACAAAAAAATGATGAAACATTCAAACTAATTGGTCGTTTAATCGATGAAATGTGTGATTATTACAGCCACATTGATAATATTGTCAAGCATCAATTTTTCATTCGATTTCCATCAATATTGATTGATTTATATCAAATATTATTGAATAATCCGCAGAAATTATTTCTTATTGAAAATTTTTTCGAAAATTTCTATAAACATTCACAAATGTTATTGCAAAGATATTCCCAATTGGTTTCCATAGATTCCATTATTTGTGATGATAATGAAGATGAAATTTTAAAATTCATGGATAATGTGGAAGGTTTTATGTCAACAATAACGAAATCATACACGTATGAACAGAATGATTATTTCGGTGATATCGGTATCAAACAATGTGCCTTACAATTATCATTCATTGTCGATCATTTTGTATTTACAATTGGTAATGGTGACATTATTAGAGGACGTATTCGGCGATTCATTAGTTTGATATTATTTTCATTATCAACATTGAAATGTGATGATTATGAAACTGTATCTGATATGATTATCGAATTTATGAAGAATTTGAATCGAAAATTTCTTGTCACTTGTACGGAATTTCAAATTCAAAATGATTTTTCCATATTACATGATTTATATGCAATATCAAATGATGATATTGTCCTACCATTATTACAATTTATTGAACATCATCATGATAATGATAATAATTTAGCCATTTATATGAAGAAAATGTCCACATGGAATGCCGATGAACAATATGATGATCTTGTAAGATTTGCTCAAATCAATTCGCTAATGATAACCATTGCCAATGGATTGTTTTACTTTGGCAATGATGATGATGATCATCATCGACAACAATTGTTAATAATTCTGATTAGACAATTGTTCAAGAATATTTATCTATTGGAGAAATTCATTATAATTTCAAAACGTTGGAATTTACTTCCACTGGCCAAATTGAATGTAATTGAATCGATTATCGATGAATATAAATCACATCTACCAACATTGCTTAAAGAAGATGAATCGTCGATTATGATGGCAATTTTTCAATCAATCGATCAACAACAACAACAACAACCAGAATTTGCTACATTGCCATTTATTGCTTATTTGTTGGAAAAATATCCATCAACCAATATGTCATTGGCGAATATTTGTGAAATGAATTCTAATTGGAAAAATTGTCAACATCAGCAAGCAACAACAACAACAACAATGGATTCAATTGATTGAAACGAATAATCATGAAACAATTGATCAATCTTTACATCGAATTATCGAACCAAATATCAATGTTGAAATGATTGGTGATAATGAAACAACAATTGTACAACGATTATCAAATGTGGCCGATCTATCCCCGGAAACTGTATATGAATTATTATTCACCATTAATATGGCTCTTTATAAATTGCCCACTATGCAGATGATAAAATCGAATATAATGAATACGATGAAATTATTAAGTGAAAGTGATTTCAGTAATAGCCATTGGTTTAAAACATTTCCAAACATTAATGATAATCGTATGCAATATCAAATTAATTATCTAACAGCTAATCTTTTGGAAACATTTACAAAACAATTAATCACTGATTCATCATTTGGAATGGAAGAATTTACGATGTGTATTTCAATATATAAACAATGGTGTCAACTGATATTTGCCATACCAGATGATCAAATGCAATTGGATACGGCTATTCTTTGCAGTAGAATATTTCGATCATTAACAACATTTATTCGTTTAGCACAAAAATGGATCAATAATCATCGTGGTAATGATGAAGAACAGAACTATTCCATTATTATTGAATCGATTCGTAATTTTCTAGCCTATCATTGTTTGAATATGTTATTACCATTGTTTGTAATCATGAGCGATATGTTGGATCAAAAGAAGCAAAAACAATCATCATTGTTTATTGAATTAATTCATAGTTTATCCAATGTTTTACTTTGTATCGATGATGAATGTTTACAAGATATGGCTATGCTTGAATTGAATCAATCATTATTAATGTACAATGAAGACAGTGTTGTTGAACAAAGAATGAAATGTTTAATGGATCAATTGTCATCATCATCATCATCAACGAATCGGATGAATTGTCTTCATACAGATAATGGTTACTATGATTATATTATTGAACATGTGACACCATTATTATTGAAAAATGATTATCATACAATATTCACTGCATATCATCTAGTCAGTATTGCTTGTCATTCGGCTAATTGGTCATGTAAAAATGGAAAAAATTCACCATCTACAAGTACAATGGATGCAGAAATTACTGAGATTACATTATCACAATTGAAATCTTTCGATAAAAATGATGGACATGATCGAGATAATGGTGGCGAAATTAATCCTGTCTGTTATCCACCAAAATTTCTGATGGCTCTATTAGAATCATTGTTTGCATCGATATCGATCGATGATCTTCAATCACAAGCAACATTTGCCTATCTACTTGTATGGACAATTTATTTACGATTATTACAACGATTTCCATATAAAGATCATGGTGAAAATGAAATTCGTTCGGATCTAATCAATTATCTGGTTGAATTGAATCTACATAATCAATTTCTACAGAATCTATTCTTATTAATGCATGATTCAATTGATTGGGATCTAGATCGTAATTATCTACAATCGATTATTCATTCAATTACTGATCAACAAACCAATTTGATTGATATGGATTGTTTAAAAGATTCGAATCGTTTGTTACAGTTAATTGGATCCATATCAGATACAAATCAAAATGCTCGTTTAGCTGTCTTTGTTTATTATCAATCACTATGTCATATGGCTAATGTTGTTCGTTGTTGGTTTAATACATTACGACATCATCAAAAAGAAACAGTCGATTATGTTGACACGACGATATTTTAGTCAATTATTGATGGAAAAAGAATTGGAACAGATAAAGAATATAGATTATGAAAAATTGGGCAATATTCAAATTAAATTCAGTAGAAAATTGCATGAAATATCGGCAATTTATTCATTGAAAGAGATTAGCTTTGGTATACGATTCATTTTTGAGGCAAATTATCCATTAACTGCTTTGTCCATACAATGTTTCGATAAAAGTGGTGTTAGTGAAGATGTTTGCCGTAAATGGTTACAACGTTTGACTATATTCTTCAATCGAATGGTATTTATTTTTATTTATTAATTATTTCACTTGCCACAATCTTTATTAAACTGATTTTTTTTTCTTTCTTTCGTTCGATCGTTAGAATTGTTCCATACTGGACGGTATCATTATGATCAAACCAACAATGGATAAACTATTCGAAGGTATGGAAGAATGTATGATTTGTTTATACGTATTGTACGGTATGAATGGTCAACTTCCTCGTTTTAAATGTCCACAATGTAAGAAAAAATTTCATACTACATGTATGGTAAGTATAAAATGATGTTGGCCAAACATTTATCATCAATTGTTAATAATTTCTTTTTTTTGTTTTGTTTTCTCATCTATATAAAAAATAGCGAAAATGGTTTCAAACACATCACAGTGCTACTTGTCCACAATGTAAATTTGAATTTCAATAAATCAAACATTTAATCACATATATCGATAATTAATTTTCGGTTGTGTCCTGAATAAATAAATAAATTTTTTTTTGATTTTATTTTCCTTTTTAAATCAATCATCACATTTTTTTGTTTGGATTTTTTTTCGAAAAAAATTACAAAGTTTTAATTTTTGGCCACTAGATGGGGTGATTATTTTTGTTTCTAATAATCACAAAGTAAAATATTCCAATATTGTGGGTGGATAGATTAATGGTTCATTCGAAATTTCACCATCACCATTATTATTTGTTGATGTTCGATTATTTATTACACAAATTAATCGATTAATCACTATATATGAACATTCGTGTGCATCTTTTTTTTTAATTTTCATATTGTCTTGTTGTTGTTGTTGTTGTTGTTTTGTTGTTGTTGTTGTTATTCGTGTCTGCGTATTTGGCTACAACCAGCACAAAAATCAATTCGATGTGCACTGATTGATTGATTGTATTTTGATCAACCAAAAGAAAAGAAAAAAACGTGACAAAGATGTTTTCACTTTATCACAATTGATGATGATGATGATGATGATGATGACCATGCTCTCAACATTTTATGAATGTTCATTTGTGCTGACATAAATATTGATCAAGCTACATTTGCAAACATTCGATCATATCCAATCTTTACTTCCGATTTGTTATCTATGAATATCGTCGTTTGTTAAACATACACACACACACATAATAATAACAAATAACCGACAATCAATTCACAATTCAATTAGGACGACGACGACTTTTCAAATATTGTAATTCTAATTTTGGAAATTTTATTCAAATCCAACACATAATGGATGTCTTGTTATCGATCGTTATTGATCAATCGATTTTTTCTTTTTGGTGAACGGTAATGGTTGATGGTTGATGGTGGAGGTGGACAATAAATAAGCGCCCAATTATTCACAATGAATTCATATATCCTGTTTTGGTTCTTTTCGACTATTTCATCAATTGAATGTGAACAAAAACAAACTGATTATCATCAATTGCCCTATCACCAAAATAATGGGCGCATCATTTATTCATCATTCATTCAAACAGGACAATCAGATCGAATTGTCGCACCAATTTATCAACAATCTTGATGACATATAATCAAAAATACAAACATCGAACAAAACAAACGGTATACAAATCTGTTGACCTGGTCAATTTAATTTTTTAAATTTCCATTATTCCATTTTTTTGATAATATATTTAGATTGTGAATACATATCATAACACTGTAGTACCTAAATTGAATAGTGACAATCAAAATTCAATTTAGGTTAATTACCCTATTCCATTACCCTCATTTTTTACATTATTGTTGTTGATTGTTCATGTTTATATTTGATGATGATGATGATGATGATGATGATAAAGATCTAATGTTTTCTGTCAATGTGTGTGTGTGGACAATCAACAGATTACATTGCCCCAGATCATTGATTAAGGGTTAAAGTTTTGTTGTTGTCGTTGTTGTTTTCGTCGTTGTCGTTGTTGTTGTTGTTGTCGTTGTTGTAAGATTAAATAATTGTTTCTGTGATAATGAGACATTATTGTCGTTGAGGTTTTTGCATGAATGAATTTCAAAATCATTGATGAATTGAATTCACAATGTGTGTGTGTGTGTGTGTATATGTGGTGAAAAAAAGATGACATTGAACAACGCTGACAACAATAAAAAAAAACAACAACATTGTAAGGAACGAAAGCAACAAAAAAAAAAAACAATACATTCGTGCCCATTTTTTTTTTGTAATATTGCTTTTTTGAATCTCATTTTTTTTGTCCATTGATAAAAAAAAAAAATTTTCCATACCACTGGAATTCATTATTTCAATCAATTTTGAACAACAAAATGGCCAATTGTGTTTTTTTCTGTGTTCTGCTCTCATTTGATGATGATGATGATGTATAAATCGATATCGAACACAAAACACACGCGCTTTCACTTGTTGTTCGTTTGCCTTGCATGTCTGTCATATTGGTTTTTATTATCATCAAATAGAATCTATCTATTTGTTTGATTCATGAATTCTATCGACAAAATCTTTTTTTGTAAATTTTTGCTTTTTATTGACAACCAATAACACACAGGTGGAAATGAATGGGAGAAAATGTTTTTATTTTTAGTATTATTAATACACACAACAGCTACAACAAAAAAAAAAAAATTTCAAGATGATGATTGTTGCATTCGATTTTGAATATTTTTAAAGAATCCACCAATCGTTTCCATTGCTTCATTAACATTTTTATTGAATGATGATGATAATTCAGTTAGATTATAACGTTGATTAATAGTATTCCATGCACCATTCAATACATTTGTAATACAAGTTTTTGTATCAAATGATTTACATTGTTTTTCTATGGCCAATATCTTATCATCTGGTTCTACTGAATGCATTTTCTGTTCAAATTGTGAATCCTGACAAACATTTATTGTTTGTGATGATGATACAAATCTTTGTAATGCTTGCATACAAAGATTGTAACGTGCATGTTTGCTATCGAAAAAAAAATCGATATCGATATAATTATTAGAATTAGAATACAAAGGGTTATAATTAATTGATCATTTTTTACTTACCAACAGATTACTTTTTCATCTTTACTATTTTCTTTTGACAACATTGATCGTACACTTTGACATTCATCAACAAAAGCATTGATGGCTCTATTACAATTGTTGCTACTTTCATCATCTTGAGCATGAACTATGACTACCGTAAATGTAAATAAAATGATTGTGACCATAAATTGATTCATGGCGCTATTTTTTTTTTTTTTGCTTCAAAAAATTTCTTCTAAATGAACAACCACTTTTCACAATGGCCAACTATGATCAACTAAATTGTTTTTATCTTTATGACAGTTTACTTGCTTTGGTTTATCTCTCTCTCTCTCTCTTTCTCTCTATGTATATGTGTGTGTAATAATTATATCTAGAATGTCAATTTTATTTATCGAGGTGTTGGCGTTTGTGCATGCATAATAATAATAATGTCATCAGACAAGGTGTGTGCACGCCACGAGTGATTGCACATTTTCATCTTAGCCAAACCAAAAAGAAAATTGTCATTTGATTTTTTGCAAAAAAGAAAGAAACGCATGGTTAAATTTCGATTCTATATATATTAATCCATGTTATATGTGGTTGTTTATTATGTTTTTTTTTCTGGCTGTTATGTTGGCAATCGGAACTCTGGACTATTATAATAATAGTAGCTAATGGGCTATTATATGGTGGTCATTGGTGAACAGGTGGTCATTATTTTTTTTTCTTTTTTGTTGTTGTCATTGATCATTACATCTAAGTTCGTGGCTTCCAATCTAATCATCAATTGATGGTGTTATCAAGTTATTTTTTTTTTTTGATTGTTCTGTCCGCCGCATTTATTTATTATTTGATGCTGTGTAGTGATGATAATTAACACATTCGTGACATGTTCTACATACATAAACACACACACACACACATGGCTCATGAATTGATTGAAAAATAATATTTAAAAAATTGAAATGCACATTATTCGTTTTTTTTTTTTTTTTCTTTTTTTCTCAACATCTGCCTTTTTTTCGATTATATCGAATCAATCAATATGCATGTATATGTTCAATTTACCTGTTTACAACCACAATAATAATAATGATGATAATGATGATGATTATAATTACAATTGGTTGTGATCATTAATGATAACACCGCCCAATTATCATCATTCTATATAATCATCATCATGGTTTCTTCTTGTGTGTTCAAAATCGATTGATGACAGTTCTAACGAAATGAATTCATTCAGGTAGCAAAATTTTCGTTTGATCAACAAACAAACGGAACTATTGGACACTATTGATGATCATCAATTGTAATTGAACCATGGTGACAATAATAATGTTGTAATCACACACACACACACACACACACACAATTATCATTGGTCTACTATAATGATTATGATGATGATGATGATGATTGTAATCAATTTTTTTTTTTTCTTATTGAAAGCATTGGACCATTGCAATTATGTTCAAAGATAAATTGATTCATTGGTCCATTTGGCAAATACAAACATCAACAACAATAAATGGAATATAAATGAAAGTCAAATTCACAATGTGTGTGTGTGTGTGTGGTCATTGAATTGTATGATGATGATCATCATCATCATTATCATTATTAAAGCAATTGGTGTTTGATGGAAATAATGGATCATTTAAACTTTATCTCCAATTAGTTACATAAAAAAACATTGTTGTTGTTGTTGTTATTGTTGCTAGAATGTGTGCAACCTAATTTTCAAAATGATTCTGGTCAATTCATTCATTATATTGACCAAATGAAATACATGGTTGTATTCGTGATTATTATGGCTACAACCGAACAACCACCACCACCACCAAAATAAAAAATGATGATGATGATGATGATTATGTTCCAAAAATAAAACATTGTTAATCATAATTTATTTATTTTTTTTTTGAGAGAGAGATATAGATTTATCATCATCAACACTTGTTGATCTTGAGATTTACTGTTGTTTATCCAACAATATTTGATATCAGCTATCGATCGATTATCGAATGATTATGATGATGATGATGATCTTCCTGGATTGATCCAAAAACAAAAACAAAAAAAAATTTATGATAATTTGAATTTAACATTACTTATCGATACTACTACTATCATGTTCATATCATTAGTCACTGATCATCGTGTACGATTTTGTAGTTAGTTTTGATTACTTGGTTGGTCAATGGTCTGATACATGCATATCATACATCATTGTGTGTATGTGTGTGTGTGTGGATCGTATCATTGAATGGGTTAGTGTAGGCGCATACATATGCATGGATCGATGGATTGCTGAATGAATAGATGGATGGATGGATGGATGCCCATTTAATTAGGCTTATAATGGCTATGTCCAACTTGTTCCTACTTAGTGTGCATGTTTTTTTAGCCAAATGGCCATATTATGCATTGCTTTAAAATGAATGAATTTTTTTTTTTCGTTGTTTTTTTCCACTGGACAAGGAAATTGATCATGGATTTTATATAAATATTACATGTGTTGTGTGTGTGTGTGTGTAAAATGTCTGATTTGAAAAAAAAACACTGGTGGCTTATATTTCAATATAATAATAATGGCCATTGGCCAAATTAGATCAGATTTGGTAATCCAATCATCATGGATACTGTCATCATACTATTAGCCACATTTTTTTTCTGACAAATTGATCTTTCAAAATCCAAAATCTATAACATTTTAATCACTATATATATAGTGTTGATTCTATTGGAATTCAAATTGATGACAAATGTGATGCAGTGACATTTTGTTGAAAACAACAAAAAAAAAAAACGATATCCTGTAGTAGTCGTTTGAATCATTTCCGTTGATCCTGGAACAATAATAATAATAATGCTTTTTTTAATTGAATCCTGATCATGGATCATCATGGATCATTGTTATTGTTGATGGTGGTGGTGGTGGTGGCTACTGTTGTTCCATATTCATATCATTTTATTTTGTCTTAACTTGAATAAAGATAAATGGACAGGTAAACAATGTTTATAGATCATTCAACCAAGCAAGCAAGCAACAAGCAACAAGCAGCACGTACAAAATATTTTTTTTTTTTTTTTTTTTGGGGGGAATCCAATTGAATTCAGTTGAACATGTGTTTATGTAAATTGGATGAATGATGTTCATATCAAATTTTGATATAGAACGTTTTTCGATATAATAGAATAACGACAAATTGTTTGTTGTATCTCTCTCTCTCTCTCTGTATCTCTTTTTTTTTCCATAAACACAGGTCATGTACATGGATTGAGCCTGACACGAGCATTGAATGATTGTTGTTGTTGTTGTTGTTGTTGTTTTTTTATATATGAGAAATTATGGCCATTGTTTATTTGTTTGTTGTTTTGTCAAGACACGGGCAATTGTTTTCATCAGAAAATTTTTTTGATGAAACAATTTACGATGATGAAAAAATAATCAATCTTCACCCAGTTTTTTTTTACATTTCATTTCTAAAATCTTCCAAGTTTTTTCTTCCTTCTTGTTGTTGTTGTTGTTGTTGTTGTTGTTGAATTTTTTTCTTTCAAACTTTCATCATTATTCAAGCTGTCAACAATTATTATTTTTTTTTTGGTCGACATAAACATTATGGTTCCACGACAAAAAAACAACATTTATCTCTCTCTCTCTCTCTCTCTATGTATAATAATGCTGGACATACATGATTCTTTCAGAGAAAAACAAAAAAAAAATAAATAAATAAAAATAATCCGATTTACCGGCTTCATATAGCCATTTTTATAGTTCTGGTTTTGTTGTTGTTGTTGTTGCTGCTGTTGTTGTCGATCGATTTTTTTCGATAATGATCGTGATGATTGCATTAATTATGAAAAAATATATTCAGCATTTTTTTCCCTGACTTTCTCTATTTTTCAACTTGTATAAGATGTTCAATATGTCCGTATGCGTGTGTGTGTGTGTGTGTGTGTGTGACGAATGGAATCGAAACGCAAAAAATCATTTCATAAATATTGCAATTGAAACTTCATTCTTCACTTCCTGAAATGTTCCAAAAACTTTGGATATGCCAGTATTAATTGCTGGACATTAATTGAATGATGAATTTATTCATTGTATTAACCCCGGAAGTATATGTGTGTGTGCGTGTCCCATTACAAATGACAAACTATCCTGTTTGTTGTGTTGAATATGCAGTGTGTGTGTGTGTGTGTGTGCAATGTTAGATAGATTCTTAACTTACTGGTCTGGCTATCTATGGAATTTGATATATGATATCAGTGCATATATATGAATAATGTGCTTGTTTTTTTTTGGTGTAGTAGCCAAAGTTCATTCGACTTGTTCTCTGTTTCAATATTGCTGCTATGCCTCTATGTTGTGTATATATCATTATTATTCTGGCTCCCAAACTATAGATTATACAACAACAAGTGTTTAAATACAGACAGAGAAAGAGACACCAAAAAAAAGAGAAAAAAATAAAAAGATGGACAACATGACAGGAGAGAAACAGAAAAACATTGTGTGTGTGTGTGAGAAAGAGAAAAAGAGAGGATCGGTCACGAAGATGACTTGACTATAGAAGAAATATATCATTTTTGATTGAAATGGAAGCCATCATAGTCAGTTTGGCGACCAAGTCCGTTGCGTTTGCTTACCTGAAATAAATAACAACAGCCAGATATACCTTGTTGTATAATTTGGTTATTATTCAATAACATCAATCTAATCTGCCATATGAATTATCTACTATATATGTTTATATCTGAGTCTGTATGTCTGTATTTATGTATTTATGTGTGTGTGTGAATCTGGAAACCACACACACATCACACCGGCATAGCAAGGTGAATTAAGCTTATCGTCTGGTTACATCCAGTGTTTGTGTGTGTTTTTTTTTTAGTCGACGTTTTAAAAAAAAAAAAAAAAACAAAACAACCCAAGATTGATGATTATCTTTTATGAATGATGATGATGATGATGATGATGACCATGATCTAATTATGATGTGACCGCTTTCATTTAACTCATCTGTATACGTGTGTGTGTGTGTGTGTGTGTGTATGTGTGTGTGACAGTGAAAATTGTCCCAAATTCAAAAAAAGATACATAAATTTTTTTTTCTGCTATCAAGTATAATTTTTTTCCACTACATTCCAAAGGTCATCTAACCAGCCAGTCAGCCATAACACAGTGTGTGATGTGTGTGTGTGTGATACCCGATCATTTTCAATATTCGTCGTGATCATCCATCGTTTCACCATCTCCATTTTGAAGTTGAATGTTTGTGATTTTTTTTTCGTTGTTGTTGTGGATTATTCTTGATGGAAAAACATAGTACATCATCATCATATTGATCTTTGGTCACATTTTTTTTTTGTTGTTAGCAACAACCAATAACAACAACAACAACAACAAACA